TATAGAAAAATATTGAAAAAAAGTAAGCAGAGAAAGTTATTTTAAATTTGAAGAAAAGAAAATAAATCAAATGAATTTAACGGAAATATTTTTGCAGAATATCACAGAATATTTTAAATAAAAAATTTAATTAAAGAGGTCATTGTTAAAACTTACAGACACTCCCCAAATTTCTGCTAATTAAAAATCTTAAATGAGTGATTAGTGAAAATAAAAATAATGTGATTTAATACGGTGGCAATCTGACCCAAGTAGTGAGTGTTAAAAAGCAGTAAAATTAATTTATTTAACGCTTTAAAAAATTAATTTTTATAAAAATAACTAAACAAATAATAAATTTTTTAAATAAAAACTTATATAAAAAATTTAAATTGAAATCTTAAATCTTTAAGAAGCACAAAAGTTTTTGTGAAAAATTCTTTCCATTCCAGATCAGATTATCAGCTTTTCTAATTAATATTCGAATGGTGAGCTGCAGGACTCTCAAGGTTTATTGCTTATTGCGCTCTTCCGATTGTAGTGTGTTGTATTAATTAATTGCCTAAGCGCGATTTTCACTTCGGCATAGCAGCAGGTACTTGTATATGATTCACGCTTTGGCACCTTTCTCGTTCTCTAATAATAATTCCATTATTTCAGCTCCGATTAATTTCAGCAGGTATAAAATTTATACTCGTGAGAGAACATTCCGTTTCTGCTCTACTTGCCAATGTCGATCGATTTGTGCCAGGATTTTTTTTATTTATTTGACTTCGTCGCAGCTTTTTATCTGCTTATTCCATTTTCAAAATCATGCAAACAACAAAACGGCGGCAGTTGTTGGAAATTTCGAACAGAGCTGCGCACATACAAAAGGAAAAAGGAACTGGTATATCCGTTTCCTGCGCATTTTCTAACTCTAAGGATGTCCGGTAAACTGCGGCAAAAAGGGTCGTCGCGCACATATTGAGCAGCGAACGAGCAATACACACATTTGGCGCCGACCAATCGCGCAGAGTCCGAATTCAAATCGCGGTTCACTAATTTGAATGATCACGCGCCGCGCACATATCGAAATAAATAAATAAAACCGACGCGTCGGTGCTGCAGCGTCAACAAAGCCAGATAGATTTTTCCGGCCTTTTGTCCAACTCGACTTTTGTCCCGCACCAGTCAACTACCCCCTGCAACAAAAACAGCCCCGACTCCTGCGCAGCTCTGTATAATTGAGCACAATTGAAAGGAGCTTGCTGCGGCGTGTTATTATTTTCAGCACCTATTTGGCGCTGCAAATTGCAGAGAGTAGGCGTTTTGAAATGTAAGCTATTTGTCCGAAATAAGCAGGGCGCTCTTGGGGTGCAGGAAGCATTCTCGCCAGGGGGTGGACGCCGCTCAAATTTAAATCACTTCTTGTTATAACGGTACTTTTTTAATCAGAACATTTTTATGTGCGTAATAAAAAAAATAATTAAAAGTGATAATAGAATATTCAAGCTTATTCTTTTTTTCAGATATTAGTTTTTCCCAAAAACACATGGAAAATAAAAAATATAATAAAGATTCAACTGACTTTGAGATTCCCAAATAGATAGAAGGATTTTATTGTAAATTTTTCCACATCAATTTAATACATAGTTACTTCTGGCTGATTTAGTTCGAAATCTTATTTATCGAACGCAAATAGCAAATAAAAATTTTGTCATTAAAAACAAATATACTTATTTTTGCTTGTTTCAAAGTTAATAATTTATTTCGTTTTTAGAAATTCTCAAATTAAACGAAATGATTTTCCTGAGATTATGAATTTATGTAAAGGGTAAGTTTTCTTAAAATTAGAAAAATAGTTTCTTCACTCATTAAAAGTCTAAATTTTTGCAATATTCAGAACCCAATTTACTGATTGTGAATGAACCTTCAGTAAATTTCCCCTTAAAAAAGTTTCTGTCGCAAAACTTATCAAATTCCAAACCTGATTGAATCAAACTTCAAAGCAAGCCGCAGATTGAATTTAAAAATAATTTCACGCTTAGGCGGGCAACACAGCCACGCGCCGAGCACCACGAATCGATTCAATTTTTCCGCCGCATTTGGCTTCTCTCTGATGCAGTCTGACCGGCCGAACAATGGCGTGACGCCTGCTGCAGCATCCCGATCTGGGGCCGCGATAAAAAGCAAGAAAGACACCTTTCGAAGTGGAAAAGGATGCAGCAGGTATAACGCGCGCATCTGTCAGAGAGAGGTCGGTCAGGTTGAGCATCTGCTCAGGTCCCACGCTCGCGCCGCAGGAGGAAGCGCCGCACAATGGAGCAGCCCCCTGAACAAAGCCGGGTGTACCAAAGTGCACTTCCTTCGATCCGAAGAAACGACGACCGATCGGGCAGCAGGAAACTATCTCAAGACGAAAAACGTTAAACGCACACGCGACGACGGATCTCTTCCTTTATAACTCTGTTTATTACCGAATGTATTATATAAAAAAGGAAACCACCCCCAATTTGTCGCTTGTTGTGGGTAATAAAGTCGTTGCATCCGTATCGAGGTGAGATCTCGACAAATGGAGCGAAACGGACGCGCCGTGACTTTTCTCAACCGATGAATGGAAAACGATTTTGAGAGAGAAGCTTTTCACGCAGGAGGCTGCTCTCATCTCATCTCTAGCTTGCTTGTGACCGGAAGGGACTGCTCGTGTCTTTTCTTTTAGGCGCAGATGCCTGTTACACAGCCAGGCACACAGAAGTCACCAGAGAAATAATAAAAAGGAGGCCCCCTTGTTTCCTTTTCTTTGGTAAGAAACTAATGTGCCATTGGGAAACACGCCGCTTTCAGGGTGTCAAAATATACGCGGAATTTAACTTTTGTTGACTTCCGTTGACTTTAATTTATGATATTACCAAAAAGATCCTAATCGTTAGACCACATTCACAAAACTTATTGTTAGTAGATTATGAAAGGTGGTTTAAATTTTGACCATAACGATGATACGGATCAAAATTTACAAATAAAATTATAATTTGAGAGGGTAAAAGCAAAATTTTGTATTTTAAAAATAAACTTTGACCAAAAAATTTTTATTAAAAGCCTCGTTTCAACTAAAATTATTTATTGTAGGAATTCGACAAAATTTTTATATCTTTAACTTTCATATCTAAGTGTTTGAATGTTTCAAATTAAGAATGCTTTACTAGATTTCCCAGGTAAAAAGTTATTTTAAAAGCACGGACGCCAGAATTTTTACTGAATAATTGTTTTCATTTAGCATAATTTTAAGAATTTTTCAATTAAAATTGAAATAAAATCAATAAAAATAAGTTGATGCTATTTATATACAATGCTTTTGTTCTTCCCACTTCTTCTTTATATTAGTATTCATAAAATAAAACTGTCAAAGGGAGAATGTTAAGGAATATAAATAAATAAATCTAACGTAAGCATAGGTATTGAGCTATTTTTTGCACCTGATTCCAAAAATTATTTGGGGCCTCTGGGCAATAAATTATTCCTCGCCAAAGGAATGTGTGCGCCTGAGGATTTGTAAATTTTTCCCCAAACGACACTTATATGATTATACGGCCTCATAAACGCGCACCACCAGAGCAATAAAAGAGAAATCGCTGAGAATATAACTATGAATAAAAGTAAACGTCACCACTACATTCTCAGGGGGTTGTTTCCGCCCTTGAGTGATTCTTCAGGAATAAGAATGCGCGCTCTTCTTCTAATTGAAAAAACACACATTGGGTAAATATCTGTTTCGGCCACTCCAAATAGTTTCTCTCTGCACTGCTCCGCGGTCTTTTCTCTCTTTCTCAATAAAAGAAGCAGAGCGCGGCGGATTTTGTTACAGAAACTGGTAAGGGTTGAAAAGGATCGGGGAATTCAGCCACAAAAGATTTTTGCCTCAAGAGACCTCGCTAGGCGGATGTGCAGCTTTGGAATATAAATTCTTGTTTTTTCCTTTCAAAAATAAAACAGGAAACGGCGTTTCGTTATGCAGAGCAGATTATTTGGAGCAACTTATTTCGGTTTGGCGCGACAAGTGCTCATTCAGCAAACTCTAAAAGTTTTCGTGCGAGAGACACGGCACATTTTCAAATGATGACAGGCTTAAAATTTAAAAAGCTTTCCCAACAGGAAAATGAAATTGCGGATGTCAAACTTTCCGGTCGAGGTTTGCCGCTGCGTTTTCCTTTCCTTGATAAGTAGTGTGATTAAAAAAATCAAACTTATATTTTACACGCATACGAATTTTAGCAATAAATTTCCTTTAATTTTTATAAATATCATGTTGCAAGTAGTGTAAATATCATTTTTTTTATCGCTAAAGATTTTTCTTGTTTAGTAATAAACGTATAATTGGGCGACGAATAATTAAAATAGATTGCGAAAAAAATGCTGATTGTGTACTTACGGCTCTGAATGCGGAGGAAGTCGGCGCTGTTGGTAAGTATTTGATTAATTACGAAGATGGTCCACGTGACGAGAGCAGCAGGAAGTGCCGATGATGTCACTGCCTCGGCGAATGACGGCGAAATGTGATGGCCAAAGGTGCTCGCGTTCCGGCGAAGAGCCCGCTGCGGGAAAAGGGCGGTCCGACCGTCGAGAGCTTCGGGAGCGACTGTCAGAGGGAGCAGCAGCACACTTAATTAACATTGAACTGCACTTCATTTGTGCTACTGCCACTTTTTTATCTGTAAAACGATATAAAGTTTACAAGTGTAAACTACAAGAATTAACTTAGAAATGGCATTTTATATTTCCCCTTAAATTGTTTAATATATTTCACTTCTTGAATTTATAAATTCCATGATCATATTTAGAAAATATTTTCATTCTAGTCATCTTATTCTTCAAAGAAAAATCGAAGTGTGAAAAATAATTAAAAATTGATTACCATAATCATAAGGAAAGCAGAGTAAAGAAACAATTGTTCATTTGAAGGTTTATCCAGCTTATAATTTATTTCATTTATGCATGGAACAAAGTTTCATCAATAAGATACAACTGTACTTTTCTCTTTTCTGCTCTCACATCCTCTTTTTCGAAATGACGCGGTGTCTGCGCCCGTCCAACCTCGGTAAAGTGCGCGTTGCAGTGGCCGGACGGGACGTTCTTCGCCGGAGTTCATGACTACAAGGGTGTACGTACATCTGGATTGATTGGTTGATACAGAGGTGTTGCTAATTAACAACAGTGTGTGTGTGTTTGTTAATCCTCCATTATATAAATACCCACTTGCAAACAATAATACTTATTATCACTTTTTAAAGACTTAAATTCTTACAGCTGACACGGGGAAACGGGGCTGCTGGCTACATTTCAATTTTTATTCTCTGTTCGGTGTGTTGGCGTATGCACTTGCGAGTTATTATATAGTGTAAGGACATTTTTTCATCAGAAACCTTCTGCACTCGGCTTCTGCTCGATTTTCTGTCAACTTATATGGCGTCAAAAGGGATCTAATTTAGTTTTATTTTTTATTGCTAGGCGTTTGTATAAAATGTTTGAGCTTCGTTTTGTCGATAAAACAATAAAGCACTGGCGGGAGTTGTTGCAATTTTTTTCCTTTCTTCGCAGATGTACAAAAATTGAGTTGTTGTGGCATGCTAGTACAAAAGTCACAGCTTCAAATTGTCCTTACACCGTTGATTATTTTTTTTTTTAATTGGTACTGAATCGATTGATTTTGCATTTTCATACGACATTGATGATGGTTCCATTATAACGCGGAACATTAAATTTTTACTTATTTGATGCAGATACGACGCCGTTGAGGGCGGTGCAGACTCAAAAATGGCACCACCCATACAAGCCCAAGTGGATAGAGATCACAAAATATTTCCTTACGATTGAGTTCATTTTCTTTTTTCAATTTCTAACCACTTTCGAAATCTCTTTTAGTTTAAGTTGACGCAGCTTGGGGTGCTATTTGACTCAGACAGGCCCAAAAGAGCAAGTCAGAAGATTGCTTGGAAATAAACAAGGAAATAAATAAACGAATAAAACATTTGACTTCTCAAAAGAGACAAAGATCTCTCTGGCCACTCTCTTTGGACCTTCTGGTCATTTTTTCTATCACCCTGGAGCCAAGCTGAAAAGGCAATGAAAGTGCAGAGAGCTGGCCTGTGATCAGCGTGACCCCTTCAGGGGGTACATTCACATGTGTGGATCTTGGCTAAAGCAGATATGGACAGGCAATATTCAACATTGCACTCCACACAAATCAACAAACTACTAAACAAAAATATAAAGTCTAACGTCTCGCATTTTGTTGTTTTTTTTTCCAGTAACTGCCGCGCTAATTTAATGAAACTGATTTTAAAGAATAAGTAGTGGTGCTCAGAAAACAGCATTTAAATTAAAACAGAGATGTCTTTTAGTGGCAATATATAACACTGACCATATTTGACTCCAACTCAAAGACAGCAGCGGTAAATTCTTTACATTAGGGGACGCTATCTTAATTAATTGTCATTTGCAATACTTGCAATTGTGTGTTTCTTTTTTCTACTAGGAAAGGCGCCTCCTAAGATGTGCACACCTATGTCCTTCCAACCTGAAAACCAACATAAATTATACTTGGTAAAAAAATCACTAGTTTGTCAATTCTGCTAGTTTGAAAATAATTTGACTGAGGAGAGAACCAACCTGAGTGAGATTTGAGTTTTGCAGTTTCGCCGAGCTATTTGCGTAGATGAAGAGGTGGCCGGCCAGCCGAGAATTGACCGTGTCCTGCATTCGGGCGTGAGGCAGTAAAGGGGGTGAGCTGCTCATACTGCTCACATGCCTGTTGGCCCCATGCAAAAGCAAAGGCGACGAATTCGGGGGTATTGGGGAGAGGGATAGCTGGAGTGCTGCAAAATGAATATTATCCAGTTTAGTTTTAAGAACATTCAAATAATTACACACAAAAATTAGAAAAATTTTCAGATAGGGACAGAAGTGTTCTTCACATAAATTCAGATGGTTTGAGGTTGATTCTGGTTTTCTCATCACGATAATCAGATGATAATCATTTTTCATAATCATAATCATAAGTTACCTGTTTCGGAGTGGCGTCTGTGGTTGAGAAGGACAGGTGTGCAAAGCTCATCTCAGGAGGACTCTGGCTGCATCCACGGCTGCTTGAGACAGTCGGCTGCCGTGGCTCTCTTGTTTGGGTCAAAGGTCAGCATGGGCAAGAGAAAATCGGAGAAGGATCGTGCCGCGCTCTGCTCCCATTCGTATTTTTCAGTCAAAACCTCGTACAACCCCCAGGGCTTGAGTTTGGTTATGTGCTTCAGTTCGCCCTTCTTGTTGAAGAAGTCGCGCGAGTACTTGCCCGACAGGGCTATATCTTTTGGGATTTCGCCCAGGAGCTCGATAATGTGCGCCAGGTGGTCCTCGTCCCGCGAGTAGTCCTCCCCTGAGTGCGGCTCAAACAGGAAATCACCAGTTGCCAACTCAAAAGCCTGAAATTGAAGAAAAAAAAAACTCAGAAATTCACATTGCTAAAAAAAATTTACATAAAAAGTTCAAACATATTTTCAGATAGGGACAGACTTGATTTCATCAAAAAGTTCAGTGGTTTGAGGTATAATTAAGCTTTTTATCATCATCTTAAAAATAGAAAAGTTTTTTAAAATTTTTGACTAAATCTCACCATGCAAGCTGTGCTCCAGAGGTCAGCAGGGGGTCCATAGCCTGCCCCTAAGAGAACTTCCAAACTGCGATACTGTCTAGTCTGTATGTCTTCAGTAAAGTGGTGGTCCTAGTTCAATAAAAATAGTAGACAAAAATACAAATTTATTGAAAATTTTCTTACCACCCAGCATGCGTTTCCTAAGTCAGCAATTTTCACTTCAATGTCACACACTTGACGAACAGGATCTGCCTGCTTTGTTTCAGCAACTGGCCTCCTGTTGTCCTCAGTTGAGCCTGTGTTTGTGATGCTTTCCTCAGAGCCACGCTGCTCCTCCTCGGTTGACATGTCATTAGACGCTTCGGGTGTGTCTTGATGCTCATTGTCAACCTGAAATGTCAATTTAATATTGTTTTAATTTCATCAAGATGGATTTTAAAATATTTTTATTGTAAGTTATCATGTGAAGATACTAAAGAAACACTTTTTAGTCATAGCAGTTTCCGGGTTTCATATTTTTTATTTTAAGTGATATGCGGGTGTCAAAATTACCTCATTTATGACTGGGATATTATTTCCTCCTTCGTTATTGAGAGCTTGATCAGCAGTTCCGTTGTCCAGCAGTTCGTCAGTTCCCGCCGGCTTGATCTCTGCATGTGGCATTTCAGCAAAGCTCTTCCTGTTCTCCAACTTGGTCTTGCCGATCGACTTGAACTCGACTTTTGGAGACTCGATGGTTGACTCGTCCGGACTGGAGACAGTGTTGTTTTCCTGGATCGTTTCCTGTGCGTCCATGTCACTATTGTCGTCTGAGACGTTACCGCCCTTGACCTCCAATTCCTCTAGCTGTTGCATCTGTTGCTCGAGCAGTTGTGCGTGACGCTTTGCCTTGCGCTTCAACTTCTTCTTCTTGTTTCTGGTCATCTTGGACGGGTCTGGGTTCTGCAGCTCCTTGGGAGCCGTGCTGATGGCTGAGCCTGGCAGCTTGGCGCCCATTTTGCTCCACTGGGTGGCCTCGGCGGCCAATTTCTTGACGTAGTTCTCTGTGACGCACAGCAAGATGTTCTCCGGCTTGATATCCGTGTGGATGATCTTGCACTTGGTGTGCAGATAATCAAGCCCGAGGAGCACCTGCCGAATGATGGTCCTCACGTTGGCCAACGGAATGCCTTGGTAATTGCTACGAATGATCAGTTTCAACAAGTTCACGCCTAACACCTCAAACACCATGCACACGTGTGTCCCGTTCACTCCGGTGATTTTGAAATCGTCCAGCAGGGCCACCGTTTTCTCCCGCTTTGAATCCTCAGGATCAGCCTCGCGCACGCACTTGAGCAGTTTGATCTCGTCGAGGGCCGTCTCTGTGTAGTGTGACGCGCTCTTGACCACTTTGAGCGCGACAAAACGCTTTGCCTGCATGTCCCAGCACAACCACACGGTGCTGAAGTGGCCCCAGCCCAATTTCCGCACTACATGGTAGCGCTGATGGAAGAGATCGCCGATTTTGACTGGGTGGTAACCGCCCTTGATGTAGTCCTTGGGGTCCTCCTGCTCGTCGTCGTCAGATCCTGTTGGTTCAAGCATTTTATCGTTAGAGTTAAGGAAGAAAAATAACGCTATGCATGATAAACGGACATGAACTGTCAGGTTAGTGGGTCACGCTTCATGAAAGCGGCACCGTTTTTGCCATCGAGAGGCGTGACCCCTGATAAGGCGCAACGAGACACCGTTTTGCATGTCACTGTGACCGGCCGTTTGTGGATGTGGACGGGGGGAATTGGCGAGAGTTCAAAATGCGTTCAATTTACCTAAGATTTCTTCGCACTCCTCCTCCTCTTCCATCACCGTCTCGCGGCCTCTGGTGCTGCGGTGCGTTCCATCGCCTCTGGTTTTGGTCGAGTTGATCTCGTCGCTTCCTCTGTTCTTACCGCCTCCCTTAGCGCCTTTTCCATTTCGGTGACGCTTCTTCTTCGCTTGTATAGCGGCCACGCGTCGGTTGATGTCGTTTTTGCTACTCATTTTCGGGAAAAATTAAGGGAAAACAACAAAATCGCGTGCGAAACACTTCTAGAAATTCATCATGGCTGCCGAACTGCGATGCTGCCACTGTTGCCAACGTTCCATGCTCCAGGCCATTGACGTCAATCCCATTAATTGCTAAATCTTTTCCATTCTTAACCATCATACGGGTGAAAATATTTAAATAATATCAATTTAGTTTGCTCATTAATCAAATTCTTCTATAATTAACTGAAAATTTCATCTTTCTTACCTACGAAAACGTAGTTAGCACTCAAAAGTTTCTTATTTTGTTTTGTTGGTAAATATTTGCTCTTCGAACGAAAATCATCAGCCTCATCATCGATCAGCATATATGTTGTACAGAATGTACAGGGACATTACAACTTACACATTGATTTACTATTATTATTATTAGGTCCATGAACTTACAACAGGGGAAAAACAAACGCTGAAAACTCACGTGTCGAGGTTTTCAAGGCATTTTCCTATTTAAGCTTTTCTCATTTTTCTCTCAAAGACGATGGATTTATTCACAATTGACACAAAAGGTGCCGAAGAAGAAGGTGGAATTATTTTTTCTAATGACGAGGATGATGCAGACGATTCAAATGGTGAAGAGCCTGTTGAATTTGAAGATGAAAACAAAGAAGGTTCTTGTAACAAAAACAATTATTTTCTCGTTTTGTAACTTTTTTCAAATTTAGGTGACCATTCCAGTCAATTAGATGATGAGGCCAGTAATACTGATGCTGAAACTTCAGACGATTGTGGAGAAGAAGTTGGTGGCAGGGAGGAGGTTGAATGGTCAGATCGTTCAGACGAGGAACAGGATTCAGGTGGAATCAAAGAAGAAGATAATATTAGCGAGGTTGATCAAATAATTTCCTTGAAGTGAAATTTAATTTTAAATAATTCAATCTCTAAGGTATCTGCTGAACCAGTGGACAGGAAAATGAACAACTTATTTGAGGAGTCTTCCGACGAAGAGGGTTGGTCCTTACATTTTTATTTAAAATCACATTAATCTTATTTTGTAAAATTCCAGAGATTGTAAAAGTTAGTAAAAGATTCCAACTTTTTTCCAATGAGCCAAGGAAAAGGTAAACCTCAATAATATTCAAAATGCTATCTTTTTATTATGTATAAAATTTTACAGCGAAAGACAAATTGTGAAGCCGAAGAAAAATGTATTTGACTTCAGTGAAGTGTACATCAATTTTGATATGGACAGTTTTGGCCAAACCACTGCCACAGAGACACTGCAGAGTGCAAGGAAAAGTGAGGTGGACGAACTCCTGGCAAAAAAGAGCATTGCTCATCAACCCGGCTTTAACCAGTTGGATTGTCTCCCTCACAGTGACCTTTCCAAGAAAAAGGCTAGAAAAATAAGACAGGTACTAAACTTGGCTTTTCCATTAGCCAAACTTAAAATAATTCTTTTTATTTAATTTTTTCAAGATTGAGAGAGAAAAGTCGAAAGGAGACAAGTGGTTCAACATGCCAGCGACAGAGGTCACCGAAGAGGTCAAAAGGGACTTAGAAATGCTTCAGATGCGCTCGGCGTTGGACCCTAAGACATTCTACAAGAAAAACGACTTGAAAGTTCTTCCAAAATATTTCCAGGTATGATACAAATTAATAATTAATGTAAGTATAGAAAATTTTAAAATTATTTACTTTGTTAGATTGGCCGAGTGGTGGACAATGCTGCAGATTTTTACCACTCTCGTATTCCGAAGAAAGATCGGAAACGCACAATGGTTGACGAGTTGCTAGCCGATGCAGAATTTCAGCAAAGGAGCAAAAAGAAGTACAAGGAAATTGTAGCTGAGAAGCAGCAAACACATCATAAAGCTCATAGGCAAGCTAAAAAGCTTAAAGGAAGGAAGAAGTAATAAATAACCAAAAATTTTCCAAAACTTTCGCCTCTTCTTTCCCACCAAGATACAATTTTTTATTGCCTAAATTTAATTGGGAAATGTTCAAATTATTAGGAGTGAAATTATGTTGGGTTGCTAATATTTATTTGGGTAATCACAGTGGCCATAATGGCACCTGAATTCTCTACAGGTTGATATTAGGTGTTGCCTGTAGCGGACGTAGGAGCGTCTGAATATTTATACCATAAACTCCCCCTCCAATTGCAACAACGACGAGGTGGCCGAGTGGTTAAGGCGTTGGACTGCTAATCCAATGTGCTCTGCACGCGTGGGTTCGAATCCCATCCTCGTCGCATTTTTGTTAATTTCATTTTTTCCTATAACAACTCCCATAAGCTCTTCCTGAAAACAATACAATTTGATCTAAAAAAAAAAAACGCTTTTATTTTTCTCCAGATATTTCTTCTAAAGATAAAAAAATTCCAACGCTGAGATGTGTGTTTGGAATTTCTGCGGAGAGGAGGAGCGAGCGTTGCGTGTTATGAGAGAGTGAATTCGATCATATGGTCATTGTTTACAAAGACGCCGAGCTGCAAAATGAGCTGCCGCGTTAGCTGAATTTTCGCCAGGATCGGCCGAAACTCGTCGACACCGAACCATGGCAAGTGACCGCGAGGTTCTTCGGCAGGTGTGGGAGGGTAAACTGCCCGTCTGCTTTTCGCTGGCCGAAGAGGAGCTGCAGGTTTTGCAAACGCCAGACGCTTTTTACCTGATGGTGCCAAGACTTTCGTACTTTCCTCTAGTCACAGAAAAGGTTGATTTCTTGCAATTTAGAGCTTGAATGATAATTGTAAATAACCAGAAAGAAGGGTTATCAAACTTCTGAGGTTTTTCTTGACATTTTTGCTGCATTTCCCACAAAAAGGCAATTATTTTACAAAGAATAAGAATTTTGAAAATAATTTTAATTTCTTTTTATAAAAAAAAACCTCTATGCAAATACAGAAAATTAAAAAAAAACCTAGAATGAAATTTGATCCCTAAGTTTCAATTTAATTTTGTATGTATGTAAATTTCCATTACAAAAAAAATCCTTTGCGCTTTTCATCCCCAATCTTTTTGTAATCTACGTGGACCTGAATTTACTCACGGCCACCCTGGCTAGCTACCCACAGGTGTTGGCCCCACGGCCAAAAACTTCATTTAATCCCCTAACAACAGCCCTTTGTGTATCCAATGGTCAATCTGCTTGAAAAGCTCCCCAGTGGTTTTAACCTTTTTATTGTTGCCAGGTGCAGGTGTGTGAATAATTGCACGTCTTGTTTTATTTACAACTCGCTGTGAAAGCGCGGTTGATTTGCATTTGAATTATTTTTGCAGGTAAAAAGGCATTTTGTGAGATTTGTGCACCCTGACAAACAGGATGCTGAGATGTGGCTCGACTTCAATGGGACGCCTCTGAAATGGTTTGTTAGGTTTATGGTCCCTGTCTGCTTTCATCACTGTTTTGTTCTTCTTGCAGGCAATATCCCATAGGGGTTTTATTTGACAGCCTACTTGGCGTCGATGCCACCCTCCCGTGGAACATCACGGTGCATTTCGATAAGTTTCCTGAAAAAGAGCTTTTAAAGTGTCCGTCAAGGTATATTTTCAACATATGTTAATGAATGAATGAATCTTTAAATTATGAAATACTCCATTTCAATGAAAGGACAATTTTAAGGAGAAAACTTAAGTTTATTAAAAACTTTAATTCAAATTTTAATTAAAAAGCAAGAAATAAAATATAAAAAACAATCTTAAAATAGTCAAATTTAAATTATCCTCAAAATTCAATTTCAACCCTTGTTATTGTTTTTTTTTTCAATTTCTATATTTTCCTAATTATATCAAGTTTTTTGGCTGCTTTAACTGCTTTTTAAATATGTAATTGAATTTTCAGAGAAGTTGTTGAGTGCCACTATTTGTCTTGCATAAAAGAAGCAGACGCACTGAAACATCGAACTCACATAGCAACTGCTATGCAGAAAAAAGACCACAACCAATTGTGGCAAGGACTGCAGAACGGTGAAATTAAATATAATTTTTCTCTATAAAATATCATCATTCCGTAAATTCTAGATAAATTTGACCAATTTTGGTCGATAAATAAGAAACTGATGGATTGCAACCAGAAGGAAGGTTTTAAACACATCCCCTACCGCTGCCACAAGGGCGACCAATTTTGTCTGCCACTGCAAAGACTAGTTAGGCCCATCGAAGAATCAGAGAGGTTCAAAACTTTAGGCGACCTTCTCAGTTTGTTGCAGCCTAGTGACGACAAAAACTCGCGTAATTTTATTTGAAAATCATTAGAGGTTTGAAAAAGCTTAATGAGTTTTATTTTTAGTACGGGTGATAACTCAAGGTGTCGAGCCGTCGTGGGACACTCCTCTGCAGTGGTTAAGTGAACACTTCAGCTACCCAGACAATTTCCTCCACCTCAGTCTGCATTCCATTTGAAGAGCAATGAATCGACGCACTACCTAATTCCCAACTCCAGCTTTTCGACATGTATTTTTGCAAATTCGTGTATACTGGACAAGCATCTCTTGAGATTCAAATACGAACTAAATATTATACAAATATTATTCACACCATTAATCTTCATGTGGTTTCTTGTTGGTGAACTTGTGATCAAGCATTTTAAAACGCAGCAATTTGGGAGAGTGATTAATTGTGCTGCCTTTAGTAATATATGTGTACGTTTTGGCACTCTGCGCAGACAACCAAAGCCATATTCTTTTTTGTGCTGATTTTGTTGCTCATTTTTTAATGTATTATTAATTATGTACAAAATTTAGCAACGTTATTAAAAAATATAATTAAATTTTTTCAGATTTTAAATTTAGGCATATTATGTAAATCAGAATTTTGATATTTCATATGAGCATGTCTTTTTTTTATACTTGGGATCTATAACTTTTTGGCCTATTTGAATTGATTTGCTCCAATTATAAAAGCTGATTTTGAAGTGCTCTGTACGCAAAAATAAAACAACTTAACATTAAAAAGTGAAAAAAAAAATATTATTTTATTTTTCACCAAAGAAATTTTATAGGTTTGTAAATATTCATTGTTACTACATTAATGTGCAAGACTTTTTCTCTTTGGTCTTTAATTTGTCATTAGCAGCTCTCACAACCACACTAGAGTTTCCGTAATTGGAGTATATCTTGGTCCGTCTTGTGCCAAAATGCAGATAGTTTTTGGTCTGCTCTGCGGTGCTTTTGGTCTTTTTCCAGTTCTATAAATAATTTTATTACTCATCACCTCAATAAAAGATTATACCAAAAATTTATAATTTTTATCATTTTTATAAAAAAAAATATTTTTTCAAAACATTTGTCGCAGCATAAATATTTTGATTACGTCCTAATTTTTTTGTAGAATAACACAGTTCCAAATATTGTTATTCCATAGGAAAAATTATAAATTTTTTAATCATTTAGAAATATATCTCTTTCAATATCCATTTAATTAATTATTGCAAAAAATCCATTAAAATAAGTTATACATTTTACCTGATAAATAACAATTGCAGTATCTTGGTAACTCTGGACGATTTTCTCAATTTTTTCGTCAAAAGGGTCAGCAACTGCAGGGCATTTGTAATCCATGCGTCCATCAGGAGACAATTGGCCTCATACAATCAGGCAACCCTGAGACAGCGCCGTCTCAAGTTTTGATCCATCGCGCCGCTGGAGATCATATTATTAAGACCAGAGTTTTATAAAAGCCAACTGCGGATAATTTGAGTGCACAATTGTGAAGTGCAGGTTAGAATTCAGTGCCGACTAAAAATAATTGCGCTAAAATAGGAATATCTATTGAGAAGAACAAAAATTACACTTGCAAAAAGCAGGCTTTTTTATTTATTCTATAACTTAAATTCAATGTTGAGCAAGCAGTTAGCGTTAACAGCGCAGAGTGGCGCTCCAAATTTCAGCACGAAAATAAAATGCTAAAAGAAAATCGCAAAGCGGCAGAACTCTCTGCTCTTTCTTTGCGTGCTATTTTTGCGCAGTTGGGGTTTCAGACGAGATGCAAAGTAAAAACTCTAAATTTGTGTTTATTTTGAAAAATGAACTTGTTTATTTTCTTCTTTCGCAGAGAGTATATTGTTTTAATAAATAGAGCAGCGTTATAACACACGTCTTCGTCGTTTTTTTCTTCTGTTTTAATATAAAAATATACAATCTACAATATCAACAGCCTCTCACTATATATATCAAACTTCTTAAAATTTTGCATTCAGGAAATTGTGGACCTTAGTATTGCCGAGGACAAATTTTTCAATAAATAAAATTCTATATTTAATTTATTTCTATCAAGAACGCGCATCAAAGCCGGAATGCGCGCAGAGAGGGCGTTTTAAAATCTAGGAAAGGTACAATTTGTTTTGAGACGATCCTTCTTTTACAAATTACAAGCGCGTGCTTTTGGATGAATCATCAACGCGGACGAGGAAAATTATGTGCAAAATCCCACAAGACCCTCCTGTGATGATTTACATGAGTCGGAACTGTGAGCGGTTTAAATTTTGAAACGTGACCAGCAGCATTGATTCGTTATGCATGTTTTTTCAGTTCTGAAAAAGCCAGCTTTTCACGCAAGAAAAAAATTGTATATAGCTGTCAATATCATATGTAAGTATTGCAAGGAGATTGGATATTATTTGATTATTGAAAAATTATTAGATTTTATAAAAATTACTTATTTCTCTCTCATCAATATGGGCTTTACAGTTGCGTTTAGCTGCCTTTGTATTTTCTCAACATATACTCAACCGCCGTGTTTGAATAGAGTGAGTCATGAAAATTACCTCACAAGTCGTGTGAATTATTGTATTTACATGCTACGTATATGTATAACAAAGCGCCATCTTTTGAACTTGTGATATGCCTTTGAAGCAAATATCGTTTTTCGTCACATTTTTCTACTCTCTTAATTTAAAAGGCAATTTCATTGTAATATAATTTCTAAATCTCTGACTGACATTTATATTTTCAGGCAATTCGACAAGGCAATTCGAGATATTATTCCAGAAAGACGTCTGGAAAGGCACAAGTTGCAATTAATGTATCAGTTATATATTTATATTCAAATGTCATTTGGAAATGTGGCACGTACAGGAAAAGCTCCTTAAAAATATACAAAATAGCCTCTCGTAAAATTACAAAGTGAGCATCATGTTTTTTGGTTAAAATGTACAACTTAATCGTACGCATACTTAATTAAGAGCTAGAGTAAAAAAAAATCTGCTGTATAAAAGGTGGTCAGTACGCGATACTACTTGGGTGGAAATATTTAATCATGTATTATATGGATAAATCAGAGAACACGACGATTTGGTTACGCACTTGCGATCATCAGAGCCTCTACCACTTAAATAAACAAATTAAAGGTCAATACGAACTAAACACTTGGCGAAGAATTCGGAGGAAGTCCAAAGCTGCGTTTGAGCAAGTCGCGGCGGCGGGTATGGCACAGGGGGTGGCCTCCGGGGCGTCACCAGCAGATGGGCCGCGACTCGACCGAGGTGACGGCCGCGTGCCAGGCGGACGGACCCAGCACCTGCACGGGCACCAACGGCTTGAAGGCGAACGGCCTCTTGAGGGTGGGGGGCGCCGGGACGAGGGGCGCCATCAGGGGCGGTGGGGGCGGCGACGCCTCGGCTCGTTTGTCGACGACCCTCTCGCGGAGCTGCTGCTCCTGCTTGAGCCACTTCTGCACCTGCCGGCGGTGGATGGCAAAGCGCTTGGCCACGGCGCGCTGGTTGCCGCTGCACTCGGCGTCGTGGTGGTACGCGTCCAGCGCCTGCAGCTTGAAGTCGAGCGGGTAGGAATGTCTCTTGGCGCGGCCGCCGGGCGAGTCGAGCGGCGAGTCGATCAGCGAAGGCGCAGGTGGGGGCGGTTCGGGCTTCTTGACCAGACACAGGGCCGTGTCCTGCGGAGGGTCCAACGGCGGCCACTGCGGGACGTTCCACAGCCAGCGGCCCAGCCGTTGTCTCTTGGCCGAGGACTCGCCGTCGGCAGAGCCGAGGGCGGCCTCACCTCGCAGTTGGCTCTCCTGGCACAGCCACTTCTGCACCTGGCGGCGGTTGATGCCGAAGAGGCGAGCCGTTGCCCTCTGGTTGCCCTTGCACGCCGCGTTGCTGTAGAACGCGTCCAGCACGTCCAGTTTGAACTGCAGGGTGAACGACCTTCGTTTGCCCCCAGAGGGAGCGGAGGGTGACTCTGCTGGTTGGGGCTCCTCCTCCTCCGTCTGCAAATAGTGCAGACGCTCCTCCACGGCCGGTTTGATGCAAAGGTCAAGGGCGATGGGCTGTTCGTCTTCAAAGTCTTCCTCCTCCTCCTCGTCAGGTTCGACGTTGTTGTTCAGGGAGGCGCGAAGGAGCTTTTCGCCCTGCAGCCACTTTTGGATCTGGCGGCGGTGGATTCCGAACTTGCGGGCTGTGGCCCTCTGGTTGCCCCTGCACTCGGCATCGCGACGGTAGCAGTCAAGGACGTGCAGCTTGAAGGGCGTGGGGTAGACCCTGCGGCCTCCGGAGGGTGTCGGGGCCGCCGAGGTGGGTCGCTCGTCTTCATCGTCGGTGCCCTCGACATCAATGATGCAGTCTATGTCCTGGTCGACAGAGAGCCGCGGCGTGGCCACCGTTGAGCTGAAGCAGTCCTCGTCGTCGTCCATGTGGTGCTTGGCCGCCACCGCCGCCAAGCTGTCTGCCCGGTAGGCGTACGGAGAGGAGGAGGAGAGATCAGACGACGAGCCAGCGCCGCCGCCGCTGAACGCCTCGTCCATTCTCAACAGCAGCATATAAGTGGTTTGTGAGTGGAAATAAAAAAGAAAGAAAGAAGCAGGCGCGTTTCTCCTCCCTGGCTCGCTGGCTGCGCACAGCTGCAGGACCAGTTCTCGCTAGCTTCTCTCTCTCTCTTTCTCGCCGTCTGTTTTTTCTTGCGCTTTTTAACTGTTGTTCATTCTCGAGAAGCCATCTTGACACTCAGGTGTGCTCCTTTGGGCTACTAGGCGGTGGCGAATTTTTTTCTCCTTCTCACGACGTTCCGGCGATCAGGGGCGCCTGAGGAGCAAAAGAGACAAAATGCGATCATTAGTCGAGAATTGCTTTTGTGATGATTCACGCGCAGGAGGAGGATTTGTCAAAATTCAAGGCTCTCTGCACGACCGCACGATTGCAATTTATTTTAATTGCTTATTTAAAAAAAGAATATATATATATATATATATATATGAAAATAAAAATTGTGTAACATGCATGGAATAAAACAGGTTCTACGAATAATTTAAGTTTTTAACTACTTGATATTTTCTAGAACATATACTTAATTTAAAAGCACCAAACCGTTTTAGTGCTGAATTATGCAGCCTATTTATAATAACAAAGTTTAAAAGGAGCGTTTATGGCCTGCATTTTATTGGGCCATCGGCAATGTTAGCGAAAAACTCGCGTTCCGTTTACGATCGGCTCAGCAGCGGCGTTTTTGCCAATTTTCCTGCAGCATCATTTTTCGCCGTGTTTGATTTTGGCCGCACGCGATGCTGATTATTGAGGCAACACGTGCAGCTCTACAAAAGGTTGGTCGCTCTCGCGATAGGTTTCGGAGGCCCCAGTTCATGTTAATTACCGGGCGGCTCTGCTCTTTGAATGGTGCACAGAGCGAGAGAGCCGCGGCCAAGCCGCCGCGAACCAAAACGACATACTAGTTATTTTACACTCACGGGAACGGCCGGATTAAAAAGGTCGGCGAGGAATTTTTGGCATGTCAAGTGGCGCGGCCAAGTCAGAATTGGCGCAGCCACTAATCGATTAAACTCATAACGAGTTTCGATTGATCGTTGGCGAGCGCCAAGCTCTCCGAAACATTTCACGTTGAATTGCGGTGCTTCAAGGCGAAAAACGCCAAAAGCTGCTGCGCGCTTCAACAGAAATCACTCTATTTTGCGGCAGTGTTAATCACATCTTTAATCAAGATTTGAAGTAAGGCTGCATAAACTACGCAAAAGTTAAGAAAAAAGAGGGAAATTTCCATTGAAACTGAAAAGATTTCCGTCAATTTTCAAGACATATTGAGAACAACATTAAAAAATAATTGCAAAATAATGGAAAATATTCCAAATTTAGGCGTGAAATAATTTAGCAATGGTTGCAGCAGTGAAAATAAAAATGCCATGCGTATGCTTGTATTATACAACTTCAAAGACTTTTTTTATTATATTTTAAAATTGTGTACCGCATATTACGTAGAGAAATTAAACTTGCAGAGCGAAACCAGATTAAATTAAAGTGCAGATTTGCATGACTGTCAACCTGTGCGTCCAAGTTTAACACAAATATATAAAATCACACCACAATCAACTCACCATTTTCAAATTCAATGATTGTTTAGAAGCGCCTTGAACACCTCAATTAACGCAGAGAATTGAGCAAATTTCCAATTAATTACAATCTAGTTTTGCAGTAATGAGAATAAGATTAGATGAAATACCGATTACGAAAAGACGTGCTAAAATAAGATGTTTATTATAATAACATGGAAAGTTTATGAAAAAGTCCAATTGATGTGCTGAGTATTTTGGTTGAAGTGCTAGAAAAGATAAGAAAATTTCATCACTTGAAGAAATTTTTAAACAATAAACGCGAGCATGTGAATCACCAATCCTCACTCAATACAAAGTTTTTTCTTCAATATTTATTAATTTAATCGTGAGCTAGTGCGCTTCAGCAAAGTTATAATATAAACAAGCGGCGACCAAGCAGAGATAATTGTCTATATCGCTGCTTTCTTGGTTTAAAAACGAACGAGTTGATCTTGTAATAATATAATAACGCGCCGAGTAATTTGATATTTCGTGCGCGATCTAGTGCAACGATATATTCACAACTTCTGCAACTTGCATCGGCGTGAAATAGAAAGTGAGAATAAAAGATGGTAATTCCTCATCAAAGCTATATACAGCTGATTTGTAGTGAAGTCGGTTTTGTTGAGTTGGCCAACAGCTGCTCCATGAATTAAAATATAAGAGTAATCGACACGCTACTATTTCAGGTAAAAAGGTTGCGGACATATACAAGTGTTATGCAACAGAGGGCTGTGGACGCGAAATGTACATCCTTCGAGAGCTGCCAAAACGCTCGCGAAAACGTGACGAAACTCGCAAAGACACCAAACATTCCAAAGACCTTTCAAGATAAGAGTTCCTTCTATATACTCTGAGAATGAGAAAGGAAAAACTGAGCTAAATTATTGAAGATTACACAGATTTTTTAAAGTGAAAATTTTCTTTTTCTTTTTAATGGTCAAAATTATCCTAAATAGATCCTAAATAGATAAATCTTACAAAAAAATAAATTCAGAAGCAATTTTTTCCAAACTAAATGCTCAAAAATTATAAATTTATTGCTATATGAAATGATGTCATACGCGCCGCTCATTAATTCGAGCTCAATGTTGAATGAATTGCTATGAGCTCAGCCTCTTTATTTGCAAACAAAATTGGCAATAACAAACCTTTTTCCTTTTCGTTATTTTCTATTGTGTTTGGTTTGGGCCGAAAATGTTTTCTCCTTTCTTTCTTCTCTCGCTACTTCACTTTTTTTTTGCACGCGCGCATTATATTCTATTTCGAGTGCTGCGCCTAAAATTCTCGGTGCGCCAAGAATAAAGAATGACTAGTGAGTCACGATTCATGTCGCGGTTTTCCAATGCGCTCTCTCGTTATGCCGAAAGAAGCGAAAACGTGCGCGATAATAAAAAGCTGCCGATTACATGCGCGCACAAACACACACCCAGCAGCTACAACATGCATCACCGCGAGAAATCAAACTTCAAATAAAAACCTCGCGCCGACGTGACGATTAACAAATGAGAGAAAAACAATATAAATAATAATATGAGCAATATCATGAACAACCGATTTGGAAGCAAAATTGTAGACAGGAATTGACGTTTTTTAATAGTGAAGATTATTGAAATGGATTAATAAGCATAAATAAAAATGTAATGCTTTTTTAATTTTCAATTTATAAAATAATCAAATGAAGTTTAATTTTACAATTTTTTTAAGCCTCTTGGGAAATTAAGTTTTTCCAATTAACCATTCAATCAAAGATCAAAAGGCATGTTGTCAAGTGTGGTGGTTTGAAGCTGATTTTTCATCTTAACCTTGAGTCACGCTTCGCTCAATTATAATATTATGCGGACGCTGACGGATGACAACATTAGAAACATACGGCGCTTTATTATGAAATAAATCTCTTGCAAATAAATTAAAATTAAATTCCAAAACCTCAATTATTAAGAAGCGCAGAAAGTGTCTTTTTCATTGCATTTGCCGATGAAGAGTTCGTCAGGCGATAAAGTTTATCTCCGAGGCGATTAGAAGCGACATAAAATTAGACCCTTGATTGGCCCCACGCATGCAAGAAAAGCAGTGACGGTGGTCTCACTTTGCAAGAGAGAGAGAGAGAGAGAGAGAGAGAGAGAGAAGAAAGTCCGAGTGTGCTGCTGATGGTGGAGATTTATTAACATGCTCGAGCTGCCATCAAAATTTGCGCTTTCGAAATTTATTCGCGTTTAAATATAAATATTCTGAGGACAAGACAGGCCACGTGACGAATGTGAAGGTTAAAAAGTGACAGATGGAAATATAATAATCACCGTTTAAATTGGTGGAAATTTGATTTGAAACGCATCGTTGTGTGGGAAATCACCAACACTAATTAGGTCACAGTTCAACATTGAGATTTTATTTTTAATCCTTTAGGTTTTAATTCAATTTTGCATAACCTTGACACTTGCTTTTTAAATTTGAAGCCATCACTTGAATTATTAAAAATTTAAAATATTAGTAAAATAAAAATATTTAAATTCTAAATTCCATTCATAGTCCGATCTGATATGATGAAAAAATTTTTAAATATAAAATTTGAAACATTTTACAAAATAAAAAAAGCATTAAAATGATCTTTAGTATTTCACTGTCATAAAATTCAGCAAATTATTTTAATTTTATTTCCATAGAACGAATTAAGTAATTACGTTATTATAAAACTGCTCAGTTGTTAATTATTATTATTATTATTGATTGCCTCGCGCAATAAAACCTTAACGACAACCGGATTTCTGTTATTTTTTTTCCACTCATTCCCCTACCTGAAGTCACGTTTTTTGCCTCGAGAGACACCCTTTGCTTTTACACGTTGTAAAACACCCTCGACATTTTATTTTACAACCCTGCCAAGGTCTTCCCGAAAATCCCCGAACAATGCCTCTGATTTTCCGGCGGGCGCGGGGGAGAAAATCAGAAAATTATCCTCGGGTCGGTCGGCGAGAGAGAAGAGCAGCCGCGGGGGCAAAAATGCGAGGAATTTGAATGAATGGGTCTGGCAGGCCGGGCAGGTAAAGAAAGAAATCACAAAGGCAGCAGCAGCGAAGAAGGAGCGAGGGTCCAGCAGAAAGATCCTCGTCGTCTTTCTCTCTCTCTTCTCGCGGCCTACGCATCCTGTGTTGGCAGACAAAACGGAGCCTTTTGGCGGGGCTCACACAAACTGCGCGCCGAGACCACCGGACGCACGCGGGCCATTCGCCAAAATAACAAATCCGATTGGCTTTCAATCTAAAAGCCAGTGATGAAAATTAAATTTTTTATATATTAATGTGAATGAAAAAATTTAAAAATTTCCTGATTTACGGTTAAAATGAATTTCAAAAGGTATTTATTGAAATTTAAATTAAATTAACTTAAAAAAATTTCAATTGAATTATGGTTTTGAAATTTGGAACATTTAAATATGTTTGAAATTATTTAATTTTTTTTTTACAAATTGTTATCTGATTGAAATATCCTAATTTCAGATTTTTTGTTACAAGTGATTTGACTAAACCACAGACTGACTAAACGTTCAAAATTAAATTTTAAATATTTTTATTTTAAATTATTTCATTTTAAGGTTCAATAGCAGTGACTGAAGAAATTAAATGACAATCGCAAAATAATGTGCTCTGTTTGTCTCACCATCTGTATGCCCAGAGTTTAAATTGAATAAAAATTTTTTGATTTTTTTATTAAAGAAAAAAAGCAAAATTTAAGCCTCAAATAATTATTTTCTCATTTAGTTAACATTGGCAATACAGGAAACAAGAAGTTAATCTCGCAAAATTTCTGTCCCTTTATAAAAAAAAAACTTGCCATTATTATTTTTAATTATTTTTATACTTATCAAGATGTAATAAATTGTTTCTAGTTTGTAGGGTAATTACCGTTTGTAGTTGACATGAATTCATTGCAGAATATTACAAAAGAACAATTAACCCCCCAACCCCCCTTATTAAAGTCTCCCCAAAACACCTGTTGCAAAATCTTCCCTTAATCTCATTTTTTAATTATATAAAATGAAAGCAAAATTTCACAAACTTTTATTCTTTGGCACATAATTTATAAATTAATTTTTGCGATGAATTAATTTTTTAAATTTTCATTCCCCAAAACCATTCAGAATTTAACTGGATTACCCTTTTCATTTAATTTATTGCATTAAATTGCACATCGCGAATGGTTGCAATTGTTCGGATTGAAGAATTCGTCTCCAGCAAATCCGTGGGCCCGTTTTTGAGTTGGCCCTGGCGCGATCGTGCTGTGAGAAAACGAGCGAGCGAGCAGCGAACGAGTCGGTCGGTCGGTGCTTTTGGCCCCCTCCCTCCCTCCCTCCCCCAGCTTTCATGCTGAACTCGCCAGACATGATGGCGTCGCTCGCTGCTCTTAGTAAGCAACAATCATTTTTTATGTACCAGCCAGCCCCCCACCTCGTTCGAATTCCCTGCCTAGCCCCCACACACATAATCGCCTGATAACACCCTCGGGCGCGCAATCATCGCGAGAAAATGCCGATTCGTCGCCGAAACCGAAATACTGAAAAATGAGAAAAACTTGGCAAAAAATTATGCAAATTAAAGTCGGCAACAAAACAAAAGGCGGGTAAAAGATAAACCAAGAAACTTTCAAAAAATACGAGTTGTTTGGTGTTTTGGAAAATCAATCGCTGGCCAAAATAGGAAATTGAGAGGAGATTCGGGCCGATAATCGGTTGCGTGATTCGCTTCGAAGAACCGCCAGGGTCAAATTACCGAATTGGAAGAGCGAGCGGATGGATGAATGGTGGTGCGAGTCATCGGTCGAGTGCGGTGCGAATATAATTGGCGTGCGGCCGTGCAGATTTTTGGAAAGGGGTTGGTGGCGAAGGTGCTTAGCTTACCTGGACGCGGTCGGGACAGGCAGTCTCGCGACGGGCAAACACGGCGGCTTTCATTCAAATCTTGCACAACATTCCGCCGTCGTCGGTACGAGCGAGGTGCGATCGCGTTTGTTCTTGAGCGACTTGTGCCGAGATATGCACGGCCGATCGCAACAGCCTCTGGCGGAGGAACTCGGCAACGCGGCCTCCGACGGGCTAGACAGCGCGTCGCCACCCGCTCGGCTCGTACCGTCTGCGTGCAACCGACTCGGATGCACTTCGGACCGAATTCGTCTCAAGGTCGCGCGATCTCCCGTCGCCGTTCTTGCTCGCTCGCGAACAATGAATATTTTATTCCTTTTGCTGCCTTTTTATTGTTCGCAGCTGCGACGCTTTCCTACTATTTTATAAAAAGATCACTCCCGAAATTAACTTAAATTTGAATTATCAATTTTTTTTATTTTTAAATAAAATAAGTGTTATTCCAGATAAAGTTTATAATATACTCAAAAAATGGGACTACTGATATTTGATTTTATGTAATTAAATTTCATTGATGAAAATGAAGCAAAATGTATGTGAATTTTAGTGGAAGGAAAAGGGAAAATTTAATTTTGCAGCACCAGTTTTAAAATTTTCCTCATTACATTAAAAAATTTAGGATGTGACACAGTGATTTTTATTGTTTTCATAACAAAGCTTTCGTTGTCACAAATTCAATTAAATGTACAAAAACAAACTATAAAAGGAACAAAAAACAATACGCGAGATATTAAGTATAATATCATGATTTATTCCAGCTCAGTTTAGTTTCAAATTATAGTAAAAAAAAAAATAATCAGAAAATTGGTTGAAATTACGATATTTAATTGACTGTTAAAAATTGGCTTCTTTCTTGAGGTAGGATGGCGTCAAATATTGTGAGCAATTGTGAGGCATTATATTTTATAACTTTTAGCGATTGCATGCATGAATTGAATGACACTATGAGAGACCAAAATGTGGTCTCCAAATGCCCAACATGTACAAAGCTCAAAGCTGGTGCAAATTCTTTCAATACGTTATTTTGTCGCTAGTTTTTTTATTATTAATTATTTAAATTCTCTTTAACCAAAGAAAAGGGATTAAAATTTTTTTGAGTGCGACTTTTTAGAGCATGAAATTCAATGGCTAAAAACGGGTATGATTATTTTAGCGGCTATAATATTATGTTTCGACACCATATATTATATATATTGTTTTACTTCAATATTATATCTAGATGAATTAAATATTAATTTAGAACTTAATTTAAAAACATGTCCACAGCAGAATTCATCATGTGAGGAAAAGAAGCAACACAACCGACAGAACATACAAAATATTATCATTTTCGGTTTTGTTATACAATTCAATTAAGATTCAAAAGACTGTTTTTGATAAGGGTTTAGCTACATTGGCCGCATTGGCCAAAAACTTATTGATTTTTTTTTTAAATTTTGCGAAATTTTTATTTTGTGATATAAACTTTTTGTTTTCATGTTGAAAAAAGTAGAATAATAATATGTTGTTGATTATTAGTCTAGTCTCTTAATTTAATGAAAGAGGAAAGACTTGAAATCTGCTGATAATATTTTAAAATCTTTTCTCTGCTAACATGGGCCTTTGAGCCTCTTATTAAATATCTGTTGCATGTTGTTTATATTTATTACAAACATTTTTTGCGTTTTCTAGAAGTTCCATTTAATCAAAAACTTAGTTTCATTTTCATGTGTACCTAAGCATCCGCCAGCTGCTATGTTATCAGCATTATTTCATATAGTTTATAACAAACGAATAAAATGCGGATGGCAATATAATCATGGCAAGCAGTGAGAGTGAAACATAAAAATTATGCAACCAGCACCACACGCTCGTCAACACAATTGCCTCCAATTTAATTCTTTTACTGCGATCACTGCAATTCCTTGACACGCATGTAATGCAGGTTGCATTTGATCAAAACTGCCAGCTTTTCACGTTTGAGACGATGAATTTACAAGTCATATTGATTTACAAATTTTAGCTATATGATAATGATTATTACTTTTTAAAGCTTATATATTCTGATATAGCTAAATAAATTTTTTAGTCATAGGCTATAGCGGCTAATTTCCTTTTACTCATATTTGATGAGAATTGGTTAGAGTATTATGTTGTACTATACTTTGAAGTCATGGAAAATTTTTTAGAAAATTATTTTAGGTTTATTATCATTGAAGTAAACATTCTCTTTTTACTTTTTTTATTCAAAATAACTATTCTATTTTTAACAAAAGGTTGATGCCAATTTCTACATTTAATTAAAACTACAATACCCTGCCAATAAGATTTGTCCATTTCAATCAACTCCCTTGATTTACATCATTTTAAAATTTCATAATAATATTTGAATAACTGAATTCAAAAATAGTGAATTTTACAAATATTGAAGCAATGTGAAGTATAATTTTCAAAACAAAACTGCACATTCTTCATTACAGATAAAGAACAACCGGGCAAAAAACTATGATATACTCATTATGTTTATAAAAATTGTAAAATGTTAGACAATACCTATATTACAGAGAAAAGCTCATTGGACGGATCCTTTCTAAACGAAGCAGTATTCGTTGGACGGAATGTCAATTTCCATAAAAATATAGCTCTGACTGAGCAAGTGAGCCTTAGAAAATATTACATCAGCAACAACAATGCCGACCTTGTCACTACAATATTAAGTCCTTTGAAGAATACTAAAATGCTTTTACACTCACATTGAGTGTGTTTGGAAATAACAAAACGAAAGCAAATTTGCATTCATTTTTATCTGAGGAGCATGAAAAAAATCATTGACGCTGAGAAATTTTCTGCTAAAAGTTAGCTGGGACGTTAGCTGCAGAGATCAAGCTGCTTAGTTGATGGGTGTTGCTGAAATAGTGCTGTGAGGCGTTGTCGGACGAGAGTTGCCGATGGAGTGGGCAATTGATGCATTAAGAGATTGCATAGTACCCATCTGAAAAATAAATACATATTTTTGAGCATTTATATAAATATGGATTTATAAAAAGAAAAAGTAACTAGAGAGCGCTGATAATTTTGAAGAGCACAAATTTTTTTGAACTGATGTTAATATTTCTTTAGATCTTTTAGATAACATAGCCTTTATAATTATAAAGAAATTGAAACAATGTTTATTGAATTTAGAAAGAGATTAAACTAATTGTTAAGTGAAAAATGGGGTTGAATTGCCAAAGAAATTATTGTTATTGGGAAACAACATTTTACTGGGTTTTACCAGTTTTTGGTCTGTGGTTATTTTAAGGGCAAAAGGCAGAAACACAATAAGCAAACTTATAAATTTGCCGTAACAAAAATTTAGAAAAAATATTTTCTGCTCATGATCATAACTGAAATTTGTAAAACCAATTTTTTTATTATTTAAATCTTATTATGTTATGCTTTTTAAAAAGCTTCTCGGAAGCTTACTACTTTTATAAGAAAATATAGCAACTAAAGTTACCCTGAGGTGTGCCAAGTCTTCAAGCTTGGTGAGGTCCGCCAGTTCTAGGTACAGCGAGTACACGAGCACCCATCCGTAAGCGCTGGCAACAGTGAAAACGATCCAAGCCAGGCACATGAATAAATTGTAGCCGAAGTACAGGTCATTGACAATCGATGAGAAAACAAAGGCGAAAAATCTCCAAGCAGTAAAGGCAAACATGCAGTACAGCCAGGGAACCATCCGACCTTCGTATTCCTTGAAAACAAAATCAAAATCAGTAAAATTAATTCTGAAACTGAATAAAAGTTTTACCTTTCTCAAAGCAACTATCAACATGATGCTGGTTACGATCAAAGCGATGCTCCCAATCAAGGAAAACAAGGCAAAAACCACCAAGCTGTTGCGAACTGTAAGAAATAAAATTAAATCGGACTTCTTAGAAAATTTCATTTGATTGCATTTACCGTGCATGTTTCCGACGTAGACGAATTCGAATGAGATTATGTAGTAGCCGTAGTGCGTCGAGCCAGGAGCTGCCTCGGCCAAACAGTAAATGTCGAAGGCCGACGTGAAGAGGGTGAACAGTCCCAAGAACTAAACAGAAATTTTAGAACTGGCAGAAAATTGAAAGGTTTGGACGTACCAATGAATAACAGCCTGTGATCAAGCTGGCACGCTGAATGTCGAGGACGACTGCATCTTGCAAAATTGGTTTCCTGTACCACGGGATGACAACTGATCGCATTGAGTGCGTTGACCTGAGGTTGGCAGATGACCTGGTGGTCACTCTGGAATGATGGGAGTAAATTGACGGCGCCATACTCCGCACGCTAGGCGCTTTGCCTCCGTAAGATCTGTATTCCATTTTGTATGCTCCTGCAAATGAATACATTAATTAATATTAAAAAAAAAAATACATTTTATATAACAAAATAATTTAATTCAGAAAAGAGGGATCAAAACTGAAATGATTTTAAATTATGTGTGTCACACACATTTAGGACATTTGAATTGCAAAATATGATAAAACAATCTACATAACATGCAATTTAGCCGAGGTAAGAAAATACGTAATGAATCAGGATTTAAGTTGAACTTTTGTATACAACATTTTTCTATCTCACGTCATGCAAGCGCATCAACAATAAAAATTAAATTAATTTTCAATTTCGGGCCAATATTGAAACGCCCCGTCAAATTTTGATTAAACAATAAACAAATATTTAGATAACATAGTTATACAATTTTTACCTTCAAAAATAAGACAAACTTATAAAGTGATTATTGCAGATAAAACTCAAACTCCAACTCAACATGCAGCTTAAAAATTAATTAAAGAATGCAGAATTTCTCAAATTTAGGCGTTGTCCCAGCTCTACGGTTGTTTACCAACTACCGCATTCAAGAGACGTTGGCCACCTAGCGGGAGTCTAGTTAACTACGACCAGCTTAGCGGGAAGGCAGCGAGCCAGCGAGGAGGAGGGCGAACCCCGAACACAAAAAGACACTGCTTTTGTTGACAAGAAGGATCGTCTTTCTGTTAATCGTTTTTGCCATCTCCAGGCTTCACCCTTGACCAGGACACTTCTGATCTCAATTAAAGCAGCTCAAGAGGTTGCTCAAGATCAAATGTAAGTTTGTTAAATTTTCTTCTCTCAGTACATATTAATCAGCGATTGTAAAAGAGGATGATCTGATGACAGTTAGGAAACAATGAACGCTGTGCGAAGTGACCAAATATTTGGCAAGCAGAAAAATTCTGGTGGATTTCATGTGAACGCAGCAAAGAGAGACTGTCCTAGTATGTATTGCGTATTTATTGAAGTTCTTGTACTATTTTTTACATAAATCCAACATTGAGATTGGGCATTGAGAATTAAATAAAAGAAAGTACATACATAATATGTACTGTTCTCCCTTCCTTTATACATACATAAATCTCTTTTTTCCGTCTAATTTTCAGTCAACCCCAAATCGGTGAATTTTCGAGTTCGCAACGATTCTGTATTTGGCAACAACTGGTTGAGAAACGCCAATAACCTTGGCAATGGAAAAGGACAAAGTTCAGGGATCAAAGCCCTTGTGGTTGCTGGGACAAACAGCGTCCAATTCAATAGTGCCAGAAGCAGATCCGCCTTAAAAAACTCAGCGTTTCTTGGGTAATAATTTTATTGAATAAAATATCTAGCATAACTCTAGCATAACTCAATGAAATTCTTTTAAGGCCTCAGACTTCCAGTGCCTTGTCAAATTCGACGCATTCACGTTCTGGGACTTCTGGGAACCGTACACCGTCAAGATCACCAAGGACACCAACCTCTGCCTGCAGTGGCAGCAACACCCTCGAGACAAAATGCATTGTCGGTTGGTTTTTCTCCAAATTCTTTGTAACTTTTTTTAATTATTTGCATTGAAGCTTTAACTGAAGGACGAGGCAAAGCTAGAGGTGAAGTTGGCATAGCAGCAATTGATGTTTACAGACCCAATTTGATTGTGAGCCAAATCAGTGACTGCCAGACTTATAGCAAAACCATTGCTAAAATCAACATGTTCAGTCCTGTTGAGGTACTTAATTGGGACACCCTATATTTTAAAATTTAATCAAAAAATTTTTAGATTCTTCTTCCAAATACATTTTGTGATGGTAGCAGCAATACAAAACTTTTCGACTGCATCAGAGAACAGTATCCCAACATCACAATCACGACCGTGCAAAGAAGACACTTTAGTGACGTCCAAGGATTGGAATCTATAAAAAAGTTTTGTGTGCCAGAAATGGCCAGCTTGGAAATTGTTGTGCAAAACAAGTATGCACAAGTCAGTTTATTATTTAATTTTATTCATCATAAATTTGTTTTAGGTTCTTTGCTTTGTCTGCTGCTTCTGCACTGCTGAAATATGTTGAGTTTCTCCAGAACATCATGTTTGCGCCAAAGTCTCTCAGCATCCAGTACCAAGGATCTCAAAATACAATGCTAATTGGTAATTAAATTTAATTTAAATTTATTTTGAATTTAATGCTGAGCTTAAATTTAGATGCTGAAACCGCTAAAAGATTGGAGTTGGTGCGTTCAATCAAGCCAGGAGGAGCTAATATTAAGCAGTCTTCCTTACTTGGCGTTCTGAACCACACATTTACTATTGGAGGCTACAGACTTTTGAGGGCAACAATCATGCAGCCACCTTGCAAAATTGAAGGTATTATTCAGAGACAGGAATGCATTCAAGAGTTGGTCGACAATCCAGCTGTATTCCGCGCCTTCCAAGTAATATATACATTTACTCAAATTCAATTTTTAACTGAACTAATTTGCGTTTATTTGATCAATTAGTGCATCCTTCCCAAATTTGCGGACGCAGAAAAACTTTTGGCACTGAGCATGATGCTTCCAACAACTGCTGACAGGAATGAAAAAAGCATCGAGTATCAAATCAATTATGCCCTGCTGTTGAAAAGCTGTCTTGATAATTTGCCAGTTCTTCAAGAAACTTTGAGGCTAACAGAGCATGCTTTCTTTCAAACTCTACACAACGTAAGAAATTGTATTTGTACAGGAAAATAAATTATTAATTTTTTTTTTCTAAAAATAAATTAGCAAATCAAGGCTGATGCTCTCACTGATATCCAAGAAGTTTTGAAAAAAGTGCTTCATGATGATGCCAAAAGTGTAAAGGGCTACAGCGCCTCTTGCATTCAAAGATGTTTTGCCATCAAAAGTGAAGTCAACGTCCTCCTTGACCTGGCCAGAAGAACTTACTGTGAATTGGTTGACGAGATCACACGTATATTATTATTTTTACATTTTTACGTTAACTGTTGTGCCGATCTAATAACTAAATTTTTCAATGTGAAGACCTTGTCCAAGACTACTCTGCAGAGCATGGCCTGCCTCTGAGGGTCGGTCACAACACCATGAAAGGGTTTCATTTGCAAATGCCTGTGGGCGGTCAAAACAACAAATGGAAAGAAAAAGAATTGCCTGAAATTTTCATTCAGGTAATATCTTAAAATTTTTGCTATTGACATAACAATTCTGGTAATTTTACTTTTTTTCAGGTCAATAAAACTAGAAGCACATTTACTATGACAACCGAGGCTTTGATCAAGTTGGATGTTCGCTGCAAGGAAATGCTGAAAGAAATTCAAACAATGAGTGCTTTGTAAGTAATAAATTTAAAAAAATTCAATTTCTTAAAAGCGGGTTAAGATTAAGAAGCTGACTTTTTATTTGGAGGCTGAAAATTTTAAAGGTAATCTATATCCAATAGAGCCCTTGCGGAGCTTCTGGCTGAAGTCCGACAGCATGCTGGATGCCTTTATCAAATGTGCGAAGCAATTTCTGAGATTGACCTAATTGTGTCTCTTGCAACACTGAGTTCCCTGCCTGGATTCATAAAACCAGAGTTTGGCAACAAAATGGTTGTGAAGGCAGGAAGACACCCAATCTTAAACCGCATGAGCTATGCAGAACCAGTTCCAAATGACATTGTGAATGGAATATTGAGTTCAGAATTTTTTTTAACAATTTTCACTTACAGGAAGCTAGTGAAGAAAATAACTTCCACATCGTAACAGGACCAAACATGGCAGGCAAAAGCATTTACATTCGTCAAGTAGCACTGTTGCAGATCATGGCCCAAGTAATCTTAAAAAATTTGAGCACTTAAATTTTTTGTTACAACTTAAAAAATTTTACAGATTGGTTGTTTCGTTTCGGCAGAAGCTGCTGAGTTTCGCATCACAGACCGAATTTTTTCTCGCATCGGCTTTGAAGACAGCATTGAAGGCAATGCCTCAACTTTTGTTGTTGAGGTGTGTCAATCAATTAAAATATTTCCATTAAATTAACTCACTTAATATTCAGATGCGAGAAATGAACTACATTCTCCAGCAAATGACACCTTCATCACTCATTATCATTGATGAGCTGTGCAGGGGAACAAGCTCCGAGGAAGGCATGTCAATCGCCTGGGGAATTTGTGAATGGTTGTTGAGAAGCCCTGCTTTCACCTTCTTCACAACGCACTTTTTGTTCTTGACAAGACTTCAGAACATTTACTCAAACATCCAAAAGTAATATTAAATTTATTATTTAAGATATATTGGAAAATAATATAATATTAATTTGTATTGCAGCCTCTGCTTAGAGGCAATTGAGATGGAAACTGATTCCAAAGATGGCTCAAGTCATGATGGAGGTAATGAGAAGTGGATCCAATACACACACAAAGTCGGTCCAGGTGTAATGAAAATTGAGAGGTACGGACTGAGGCTCGCCAGAGTGTCTCACGTGCCTAAGAAAGTGACCAAGAATGCTGGTTCTATTTTGGACAAGTTGATTGCCGCCAGAAAGGTTATGCATGATTTTTTAATAGCTTTTGCTTAATGCCTATATTTTATTTTTACAAATGATAGGCACTTGCAAAAGATAATTAATTTTTAAAAATAACAATTAAAAATTTCAGCCTCTTCCCTCTGTTGAGAACGGTGAGCAAGGAACCATGATGTACCAAACATTCCGCTGCATGCTGAAAGCCATCTCTAAGAAGTATGTTGACAACCGGACCTTGGCGATGGAAATGAATGCAGCGCTAACAAGAAAATTCAAAGAGCAGCATTCTAACTGGCAAGAGGAAACTTTGATGATGAACACGCCACTGTCAACTCCACAAAACAGGCAAACTAATAGAAGAGTTTTGTCCCCGATCATAAGGGAATTTGAGCAAGAGGGAGAAATGACTGCTCACCATCAAGAGATCGTTCCTGTTGCTGCAAAGCCTCCAGGCTCTGTTGGTGGCACAGAAAAGCTAATGGATATTCCAGACCATAATGAGACGTCAGAGCCTTGCAGTGCGAATGATATACCAATGGTAGAAAAAACTCCGATATCCTCAAACAATGAGGTTGGCACTCCAGTGAACACTTACAGAGCTGAAGAAGCAGCCTTAAGGACCCCCAATGCCCCAAGAATACCTAAAAATGTGACAATTAACCTCACTCCAGTTGAAATTGAAGCTAGCAGTGAGACTCGAAAGTTAAATTCAGGAGTTCCGCTGACTCCCGCGAGCAGTAAAGATTCTCAATTCAGCCGAACTGCCCTTGTTGGAATTCTGAAGAGACGGCAAGACTTTACTCCTTCATCGTCGTGTAGCCTTGAGACTCTAGACCTGACCGGCACACCTGTCAGCACAAACATGCCAAAGCAAGCACCAGCTATAAGGAGATTGTCTAAAGATTTTTCAACACCCCAGTCCCATTTCAGGAGGAGTGCTCAGGATGCTGGATTGAATCCACCGACAGTGCCAAAAGCCAAGCGCCAGCAGGTTATGGAATTTGTTTCACCCAGCAAATTGATTAGCACTCCAATCCCTTGGAAAACACCTTCTGAAGTTACACCAGAAAAATCAACCCAAAGTCAAGGCAGATCTTCATCACCTGTAAAAATGAAAACAAGGAAAATTGAGGAGTATTTCATTCGTTTTCAACGAAACAGCGTGATTGAAACTTATGTCAAAGAGAAAACTCCCCGAGTTTGCAATGACAGGGCAGAGGAGGAAAATGAAAATTTCTTGAATGCTGCAGAGAATTCTGAATTAACTGTTGCTGTTGAGCAGCCTAACGACATTGAGATAATTGGCACTGTTCAATCTCCTATTCATCCCTCCAAAATAGACCTTCAGGGTAAACAAAATCACCGTTTTTCTTTGGACAACCTGTTGAAAGATACCATGAAACGAATCAACCTAGATAAAACCTCAGGGGACAAAAGTGTTGTGACAAGTTTCAGCTACGGATCTGCTTCATTTTCAATGCCCATTATGTCCACCTCAGTCAAGGCTTTGAACTTTGACATAAACGAAGCCGAGTCTAGGAATGGAAGTCAAATGATGGAGGAGATAAACACCACACCTGTCCAGGGCCACCGGTTCGCGATGCAAGGGACGCCAGAGTTCAGGTGCAGCATGACCTTCAAGGACTTCATGGAGCAGAAGACAAAACAAAAGAAACGCTCAACTTCACAAAGCAGCATTCCGCCAGAGTCTCCGTCTATGCAGAAATTCTACAGGGATTTCCCCCCAAGCTCCAGCATGGTTCAAGCAGCTCAAGATGCTCTGGAGAAGAAGCTGGAACGGATGAGGAATGAGTCTTTTTCACGAGACTCCTCCCAGTCTGGTAAGGACCTGACCCCAAAACTCTAAGTATTAAAGAAATTTGAATACCTGTTTGATGATCTCCTTTAAGCTATTTAAAATGTGAAATTAAAGCCCAAAATATTAGGGCGTGATATTTTAATTTTTACAATTGCAGAATTTGTGCTAAATAATATTTTAATTTAAATCACAGTACTTAAATTATAAAATCTATTCAAGCTGGTCAATAAAATTAAAAGAACTGAGTCTCATATATTAATTTTCCTTTTTGTTCTGCAAACCTGCACCTATTGCACCTTATAAAATATTGAGAATTTGTTTCAATTTGTCAATTTAAATTTATTATTCGCTGAAAGTGAAATTTGTCAAATTTTTTTCATTTAATGTCCATAATTAGGTAAATAATTTGTAAAGCTAGTTTTTTCAAATTATTTATTTATTAAAAAGATTACAAAAATCAATCACTTATTATTTAAATATCTACCAAAACTTTATCAAAATCAAAAGGCATCAGTGTTCTTATAACAAGCAAAAATGCATTAATAAATATTTATTTATTCTTTGAAAACTTTGATTCTCGTTCTCCTATCACACAATTTGACATTTGTACAAATTAAATAAATGCAGTTTTGTAGAAATTTTGATCGTTGCTTAACCGATGGCATGCATCGTGTTCTGTCTTCTCTCAGCTTCTTGAACTAGGATTAGAGTCATTTCAGGTTGCGACCGTCTGCGGTACTCCTGTTGTGCTAAGTCCACGGGCGAAGACCTTCGCTCATCGGTGGTGCGAGCTGTTACATCGCACGTGGGTTTTTGAAGCAGCGCTTTGACCACGTGAATAAAACCACTTTCTACAGCAACATGCAGGGGCGCCAGTCCCTTTTTGTTTCTAGCGTTCACCTCCACTGATTCGGTGGCCAGTAGCTTTTCCACCACTTCCAAGTGACCCCTAAAGTTAAAAAAAATTATTATTATTTATTCTTCTTGGTCAATAAACGAATTTTATGGTGGAAAAAAAGAGAAGAAAGGGTTTACAACTAGCACATGTCTGCTAAAACGCCCGACATCGTTGGTAATAATTGAAGTTGTCACAAAATTTCAAATATTTAATTAAGTTATTTTTGAGGCACTTTTTTTTTTAATCGGCCACACTTTTGGCAAGGGTCAACCGATTTGAATGAAATTTGGCAGGTCGGTTGCTCTTAGGGTGTAAACAAATAGTTTAGAAGGATTTTTTAAAATTCTCAAAATTGCCTATTTTACAGGGGCTCAAAGTTGCTGATTTTGAAAAATGGCGTTTTCAAAAATCGAAAATATCTCAGCTCCTGTTGCAGATAGCGCATAAGTTTATATAAGCAAAATTGTAGGGAATTAGACGCCCTACAACTTTGCTATAGTGACCAAGGTCGTAGGTCAAACCTGAAGGTCATTTATTTTTTGCTCATTATTTTCAGGCTCTACCAAAGTACCAAGGCAATAAATTTTTTTGATTCCAAAATAGCCAAAAGTTGCTCCAGTTAGTAATAAACAACATATCAAAATTTGGTGAGACTTATTTTTTTCGTTTTTGAGATATTCCGGATCAAAGGGCAAAAAACGTGGTTTTCCGAGCGTTTTTTGTGCAAACTTTATTTTAAAGCTCTATAACTTTTTTCCTGTTAGAGTTAGGATTAAATGTATTATGACAAAAAATAATTGCCTTTAATTTTTCTTGCAGGTCATGTATCACACATGGTGATCAGGTCACAAAAGGGCATTGACCCCATGGTGACCTGTGACCTTTTTGAATTTTTTTGCGTGTGTGACACATGGATGGAAAGAGGATGTCAGCAGGAGCATTTTGGTACCCGGATTTTTGTTCTATCATCATTACAAGTGAAGTTATCATAGATTTTGTACAGCAAAAATTGGAATCCGACGAATAAATTATTTAAAAATAGATGTAACTTCACATCTGTTGATGCTAGAACAAAAATCCGGGTACTAAAATGCTCCTGCTGACATCCTCTTTCCATCCATGTGTCACACACGCAAAAAAATTCAAAAAGGTCACAGGTCACCATGGGGTCAATGCCCTTTTGTGACCTGATCACCATGTGTGATACATGACCTGCAAGAAAAATTAAAGGCAATTATTTTTTGTCATAATACATTTAATCCTAACTCTAACAGGAAAAAAGTTATAGAGCTTTAAAATAAAGTTTGCACAAAAAACGCTCGGAAAACCACGTTTTTTGCCCTTTGATCCGGAATATCTCAAAAACGAAAAAAATAAGTCTCACCAAATTTTGATATGTTGTTTATTACTAACTGGAGCAACTTTTGGCTATTTTGGAATCAAAAAAATTTATTGCCTTGGTACTTTGGTAGAGCCTGAAAATAATGAGCAAAAAATAAATGACCTTCAGGTTTGACCTACGACCTTGGTCACTATAGCAAAGTTGTAGGGCGTCTAATTCCCTACAATTTTGCTTATATAAACTTATGCGCTATCTGCAACAGGAGCTGAGATATTTTCGATTTTTGAAAACGCCATTTTTCAAAATCAGCAACTTTGAGCCCCTGTAAAATAGGCAATTTTGAGAATTTTAAAAAATCCTTCTAAACTATTTGTTTAAACCCTAAGAGCAACCGACCTGCCAAATTTCATTCAAATCGGTTGACCCTTGCCAAAAGTGTGGCCGATTAAAAAAAAAAAGTGCCTTGAAGATTTCGTCTGCAATTCTTGCTGTTGGCTTTTTTTAATATCTACAGAAAAAAATAGATTGATTTTTTAACATAGATTTAATTTTAAAGTTAACCAATAAATAATAAATTACATATTACATGATTTAAAGAACGGTTTTGAAAAAGTTAAAATTTGTTGACAATCTAAGTAGGAAAGTAATTTAGATTTTAATTTTAAGGCGAATAAAACATTGATTAAACAATGCTGGATCATCAAACTTGAATTTTTCTTCCTGGGGTTTTTGAAAAAAAAAAGATTTTTTTACCTTCCTGCCGCCAAATGAAGCGCAGTGTCGCCATTTAGGTCTTCGGCCTGCGTCAAACTGGCCGAGCTTTTAAGAGACAGAATGGAAGAAACAATATTCGTCAATCCTTTCCGGGCAGCAACGTGAAGAGCCGTTTCTCTGTAAACAGTCGAGCAGCAGAGCCACTGATGATCATCTGCCTGCATTTTTGCCGCCTCTTCCAGCAGAAGCTCAGCCGCAAAAAGTGAGCCGCTCTCAAGCGCTTCTATCAGCGGCGTTTCGCCTTGCTCGTTCTGCTTTTCCAACTGAGATCCGTGGGCCAAGAGGGTCTGAAAGAAATAAAATTTAGTTACACAAAGTTTACAATTTCATTGATTGTTGCAAGTACTAGGAAAGGTTCGCTGATATTGCAATTTGCTTTAACAAGCACGTGCAAGGGCGTTTTCTTTGTGTGGTCCTCACAATTGACGTCGCTAACTTTGGCGAGAATCTCAAGAGAGGTTGATAACGATGGCATTATTTTTGTTGGACTCGAACCACTGTAAAAATAGATTTGTATAAGAAAACTTTATCTCTTTATTCAATAAATTTTTTGTATCCTGTAATAAATAAATATCAAGATTATGTATTTTTAATGATTAACGATCTGAATTCTCACTTTTATTAGTCATAATAATAATTAAAAAAATTAATAAATTATTATCAAAATTTTTTGTGAAAAGGTCTTTATTTGTTGTCAGCCTAACACTGACCTTTCTTGTTTTAAATTTAAAAAAAAAATCAGGCCCCTTTATTGCATATTGACAATATAGATATAAACTAAATTTTATTTTAATCTTACCCAAAAGAAGTCTTTTTTGATTGAGAACATCTTCTACTAAGAACATGGAGCGGCATCTGCTTCCTGAGCTGGTCAGCCAAGTTAGCCGAGCACCCTGCCGAAATGAGCACCTTGACGGCCTCTGCCGGGTCATCCCAGTGACCCACGATGCAGTGCAGGGCCGTCTCGCCGGTGGCCGAACGAGCGTCCTTGTCGCAATTGGCCGCCAGCAAACAAGTCAATAGACTCGGGTCGCGGGTGTGTTTGGCCGCCAGGACGAGTGGAGGGTCGCCGGCTGGCCAGTTGGCCTCCAGGTTGACCCCTTGCGCTGTGAATCAATAGATTTTTATTATATGTTTTGTTGGAATTATTGCAATATCGTCTCATTAAACATCAACAAAATTAGTTAATAAATTTCAGGTCATTGTATCAGTCAAAAAGGATTATAATTAACAGAAAAATGAAGTAGCCGTTGTAATAACATAGTACACTTATGACTAATAATTAGTTTTAATTTTTTTCATTTATTTTTAATTTTGTGATTTATAAGCTTTTTTTAAATTTCCCTCTTAATAACGTTATTTCAAGTTATAAATAAGTTGCATTTAATTTTTTGGTAAATCTAATTATTTGATTAATTTTAACACTGAAAGATTAATGTAGACTCTCAAAATCATTTGGGATACAGTTTTATTACAATTTTTGTGTAATCAACGCACTTACTGCAAAAAAGAAAAAAATTTAAAATTAATATAAAATTAAAAAAAAAGAAAGAAGTGACTTCTTTTAAGTGCACAATTTTTTATTTATGCTGCCAAGTGAAAATTATTTGAAGGAGCACTCCAGGAGACAAGAGACAGCCACAGTTTTAATTTTTATAATTTTAATAAAAAAAAAATACAGCGCGTGTTTCCCCCTCATTAAACTTATGTAATTTTCATTTGATTTTATAATGTAAATTATGAACAAAAATAGTTTCCTCCATTCCATTTTTTAATAGGTCCAATTTATCCATTTAACATTTCCACCAATCCAAAACATCTGTTCTGAAAGACAATTCGTCATTCTGCAGAATTCCATTTTACGCAACGAAGCATCTCAAGTGATGAGGCAAAATGTGTTTCTGCTCAGCCGGCCGGCAGTAAAGCAATAAACTCGCATGCGACTTCTCCGAGCACTCTTATCAAATCCCGGAGTAGCGAACCACACGCACCAGTTGTTGAAATAAAAAACGTCAACAAAAATAAACAAACACGCATAAACAAGCACGATCGAGATAATTAAATTGGCAGCAGGATCAAGGCAGATCAAATCTCGCCTTTTTTAAATTTGATTTTTGTTTGGTGACTTCATTCGGAAGTAGGGATGCTCGATGTTGCAGTTTACATGACGCACGTGTTCCTTGCTGACCACACGGCCTTCATTATCGTCAAGTCAATCATCATCCATAATTAAGTATTATTAAGATGGATGTGACACATATTATTTGAGGAAAGCGACCGGACGGATAGAGAGACACGCATCCTGTGTGTTGGTTTTTCAATTAGTCAAAAGTGCTGCGCGGGCGACGCATAAATTTGGTCGCATCAATTAAATAATACACAGCTGTGTATACTAGCATTGTGGAGTTTTATGCGGGTTGTGGTAGTAATAATCGTAGTTTGGTGTCGGACAGTGGAACGCAATGTTAATGTACATTACGACGGTCGTGTTTGCAGCGACGGCGGTCTGGTGTTGATAAAATATTTCTTCAAGCAAAACGCTGAAGGGAAATGATAATTGCTTCCGTTCCGGTCAGTTTCAACAGAGCTTTTTGTTGGCCAAGCAATTCTACATACATAATTATGTAAACGTATGAGTCAATAAATTATTCAAATAGTATTTTTGTATTTTTTATAAATAATTTGTTCAAAATTTCACAACAGGATTTATTCCCAGAAAATAAATTTTCACACAACCACAAACAAGGTTTTTTTAAATCTATTTATTTTTTTCGCTTGTTTAAAAAAATTAAATTGCATTAAAATATTAAAATAATAAATTGAAAAATTGATAAAATATAAAAAATTATATCAGCAGAATTTTAAGGCAACACTTGAATAGCTGTATCTTTTTTAATCAATTTGATTTGTTTAAATGTCCTTACATTTATTGTCATTTTGCAGACATGATGATCGAGTAAATAAAGTATAATATATTCTGCTAATTGAAATTCCCAGGATTTAGCTCAAAAGATTTATCATTTTCATATTATTGTAAAAATAATGCAAATAATAAATAATGATATAGTAAATATAAAACACCCTGGGTTCTTTTCTATGCCACTAAAAGTTAAATAATTTATTCGAAAAAGGAAAATTCAAAAAGAACTACTTCGCACTTTCAGGGGTTGAATTGCAAATCAGCACGTCAGACCACAACTGATAAGCTACTTGCTATTGCCAATATTTCTAAAATAAAAAGTATCTGGAAAACCCAAGACACCCTTATTTGAAAAAAGGCAAATCTGCCGCACTTCTGGTTAGGACAGCTGTTTCGGTGAATTATTTTCTCTTTGAATTAAGAATGTCAGGGGAGTGTTCCTTTCTGGGATGAAAATAATAATTTTACATTTATTTCAGGATTCATAGATTATAAATTTAAAATTTAGTTCGAGAGCATTTCTTATTATTTTTATTTTTTATTTCTTAAATTTGATTTAATCATAATATACTATAGATGAATGTGTGGGAATTTCCAGCCGAGAGGTAATAAGGAAAAACTATATACAAAAGCGGCCTCAAGCGTAAGTTTACACACTTCGCTTTTAACTTTTGATCAAGACACTCAATGGAAAATGATAATAATTTCAAATTTGCATACAATATAATATACCTTTTGCAAGGAGCTGCTTGGCTGCCGGCAAATCTGCATTGCGAATGGCGTCGAAAATTTTTTCACACACGTCCGTCTCGTGCGCCATGCCGGCGTCGACTGACTGGCGGAAGAGAAAAGCCGCGAGACCGCGAGGGCTGCACGTAATGATGGTGTGCGCTCTGGAGAACGAAACTCGGAATCGCTGGTTGCCTCTCTGACTAACCCAACAACATGCGATATCTTGCGGCTTTTTCCTCCTGTTGCTCTCTCAACTTTTTTCCTCCGCGGGGGTCCCGCAGCCGCCGCGGAGTAATAATTATTTAGCCGGCGAATTATACTCCAAGCGAGATGAGATGAGCCTGACTGCTTTTTGCCAGCAGTAAAACGAACGACACGATTCCACGAATTCTAATCACGGTAATTAGCACGCGTATAAAATGAAAGTCGCCTATTGATTTGGAAAATAATAAAATGTGAAAAATATTTTGGTAATTACACAAAAATAATTGGCAAAATGTTAAACATGCAGCGTTTTAAATATTTATGTCAATTTTGTGTTTCTAGAATTGACAGCTTTAGGAAATTTGTAACCATCTGAAAATCATTTTCTTTTTGTGCAGTCCATAATTACACAATTTATGTGGAATAATTTTATGTAAGAAAAGTCCTGTAAAACGAAATACAGCTTGCGTGTATTATTTTTCAAGTAATATAAAGGTTAATTATGTATTTTGTATATAACGATATGGTATAATAAAATTAAGTAAAAAAAATTTATATCTTGTCAGGATGAATCAGCAAAGAGTATAAAACTTTTTAGAGTTTGCCTGTATTATATAAAAATAACTTGGTCTAGTTTTATTTATATTTATTAAATAAAAATATTTTAATAAGATTCTTAATATGAATTGAAACTAAAAATAGTTGTAAAATAAATAAAATGCTCTAAATAAATTCAATTTAAAATAAATATGAATTTATTAAATATATTTTTTGTAACAAAACATTTATTAAAATTTTTATTTATTGTTTAGCATATTAGTATTTTTTATTTAATAATAGAACGTTAATAATTAATTAATAATTTTCTTCATTTAATAGAAAATTTTCAATTATTAATTAACAACTAACAACGGTAAATTGAATTTTTTCAATAATACAAATAAAGCGCATTCTGCTGTTTACACAACATTGAAACCGCACTCAATGAATAAATGAAACGTCAGACCAAATAAAAATAAAACATCTTGGGGCAATGGTTATGTAAATTTTTCCAAACAAAAAGCATTAGAGTCTCAATTTTCCCATGTATTTCACAGACCATTTTCTCTCTACTCTGCTCGTCTCTCTAATATTAAATTCCACTCGACTCGCACAGGTTTCAAAAAATATCTACACAAAATGCGGCGCGCAGCAATTATACATTCTAACTGACTGAGGCTGGCGGGTCGCTCGCCGCGGAGAGCCCCGCAGAATGCTAATGCTGATAATTGCGTGATACAATTACTTTTCAAGGCTGCGTGCGGCTCATCCGACAGCCGTGGGCCCTGAAATGTAATTTGCAGCCGGCAATTACACATTGCGTTGCTGAACCCAAACGTCAGCTGGGGCAAGAGGAAAAAACCACCTCTTCATTTCAATCAGTCGAAGAAAAATGCCTAAGTAATGAGCAATTATTTATTCTTCATGACTGCACTTTCTATTGACAAACCAAACGGCACTGCCACAAAAATTTTTGACGCAAATGCAAAAATATATTAATGAAGATAAATAATTAGGTCTTTCTTTGAGGGTACGGAGCAATGGCCCAAGAAAAATAAATGAAAATAGTTAATAAATAAATAAAAGATTTGGCGATGCACAGGATTCCGCTAGACAATAATAAGACGGGGGACGGGTTTCTCTGGTTTGGAGAGCTCTGCAGTTCTGGAAATGATGATGCGGAGGCGGTTTCCTTTTCCGCAGCAGAGGATAGTCATTTCGTTCTCGGAACAGGAATTTGATATTGGGTATTATGAGAGACGCTTCATCAGGAACATGACGAATGATAACAATAATACGAAAGGCTTTGCTATTTTCGAACTAATTAGTGGGTTTGGGAGCTTCCCTGCTTGAAAAAAAAATGCTTGACTGAAATGTACGTTTCACGTTTCGATGCTCTGTCAACTGTTTATGCTCTGAAATTTTAGTTGAATTCCAAGCGATACATCATATTATTCATATTTCATACATAGAGTTGCGCTAAAGGGAGTTTCGGTTGTATGATTGATGTCAATTAGTTTTAATATGACGAGAGTTTGCGATTAATCCTGAAAAAGAAACCACGTGAGAGATATGCAACTGGTTTGCAGGGCCAACTCAGGTTTAAAGCAGTCAGTTGGTCAATTTATGCCAAAACCCCTAAAATGGCATAATTACTGTAAATTGTTTACAGAAAAAAAGTGATGAAAGGTGGATAAAATCAAACTAGTTAAAGGCTGAATTTGTTCATAAAATACAATTATTTAGTTTGAAGGATTTCAACCATTCTTAATTTAAAAGTAGTCTTTTTATTGAACTGCATTTTATCAAATGAATAAAGACTCAAAATCGGAAGTGATAAACTGACAAGGTTGAATTTAAAAAATGTTAAAAATTGGATTAATTGTTAGCGAATCGATAAATTATGTTTAAAAGGTTTACTTATTTATTCTTTAATTTATTTAAGTAACCAATGACATTTTTCTCTTTGGAGAAAATCAAGTACAAAGCAATGCTATCCCAGGACGACAAATGTATAAAATATCTCCATGCAAGGAAAAAAAATAAATTTTATTACAACCTAAAAATTTAATTCGTTGCCTAATGCTTTTAGCATTTAAAAGATATGTGTATTGATGCTACGAATTGGGTTTTGAAGTTTAGCAGAGCATGTTTGATCTAAATCGTAGCTGACATCTGCGGAGAGCCCGAGTTTATTTCGTCGCTCTGAAAGCAGCAGTAAATAAATATACGCGCATGATTGGAGCGTCCCGAGAGTTCCACGCGAGGCTCTATTCGCTTTTTTGTTGATTCGTCGTGTGTGTTTGCTGCTCTCAAATGCTGATATCGCATGCCGGCTCACACAGTAGACGCATTATGCGGCACAAAGGCAGCACTCGCCCAGCAGCCGACGAATATAATGAGGAGGCTCGCTTTCCACATTCAGATCATCAAAGCTGCCCCCGCTGCAATAATGATATTTCACACGGCCCGTGTCGCAATAACTCCCCTTTGTGCGAAAATGACGCTTTGTTAATTAGGAGTGGGGAAAAAAATAACAGCCAGAACAAAAAATTCGTTTGTCAGAAAGACTCTGGCAGAGCCGTAAGTTCTTTTTAACCTTGCGGCGCTGCTGCTTTTCGCAAACGTGGCAAGTTGCGCGGAAAAATCTCTGCAAATATACGTGCAGTGCACACACATGCCTGCAGCAGCGACGAAGGAGGAATGTGTAACTTTTATTTAATTTATTATGACGACGTCTCCCTTTTTTTCAGCTGCTGTAAATTAGATTTTCTGCAGTTTTCCCACACAAGAAAAACGCAATCTTTCACCATGAAATTTTGGCCTTGGAAAATAAATATCTACATTATTGTTCAGAAATTAAATCACTGGATATTTATAAATCCTGACCTTAATTAAAATCAGAATTCAAGTAATACAGATTAAAGATGTTCTTTAATATCAAAATCACTGCGGCAATTTCTTCACTCTACAAACATACATGATTTATTCATTTTATTATTTGTATCAGTGCCAAAAAAATTTGGTATTTTGATAATAAATGCTGAAACAAATCTTAATATTCCCAGGCCCTTCTTAGTCCTTATCCTTATTGCCTTATTTTAAGAAAACCTTTTCTAGCTCCTCAGACCTCCTTACGCTGACGATGATTCAATATTAAAATAAAATTAAAAATATTAGAATCAAGTAAAATCTGTGCAATTAAATTTAAATTACAATTTATTGTAGGTTCAAGTTAGATTTTGACAAAAAAGGCTAATTTTTTTTTTTAAATTATTTGCATTGTTTAATTCATGTTTTGTTTTAATCACTATTTGGAACTTCATAAATCAACAAGAATTGCGCGGATAACTATTGTAAACATTACCAATAAGACCCGTTAAATGGTATAAAATGATGTTTTTTATACTACATACTTTAAGAAACTCTTACTTTTTAATTTATTATTTGTTGCATTTGAGGTTTAAGCCGAGTTAAAGCTGCTTAGGCCGCGGCCCCACACTTTTCCGTGCTCACCACTGCCTCTTTAAAAGCACTCCAGACTTTCATCAAATTCAAGCAGACAGTTCCTCCGGCACGTTCCTTCTGACTCTCCTATACAAATGATTGTGTTCACTATTTTTACTTTTCTCTCTCGCATTTTGCTCTCACCATTCTGTTAATGTCGCCTACGCAAGTCCACGAGGTGGTGCCTGGGTACTGAATGGCCCATTTGGAGTGGTCCTCCTGGTCTTTGAATTCGGCCACGCTCTCGCCGTCGACGCGAATGTTGAGGCCCAAAACATCAACGACCCTGCAATGAATCAATTCAACATTTCACATGAGCAAACACATTAACACAAGCTCCAGGAAATTAAATCACAAGTAAGAATAGATAATAATAAGAATAGATTTTTTGAAGAAAAATAAGCTATTTATTTGTAATATAAGCAATATAATGGTAAATATTTTTTAGATTTTTTATAAGCTTATTTTCATGTGACTTGCAAATTAAAATAAAATTAATAATTAGCATATATTATAAAAATTGGAGTTGTTTCGCTCTTCTTTTATATTTAAAATTTATTTCTTCCGTAAATTTTTTACTATTTGTTTATTATAAAATTTATAAATAGTATTTTCATTTTAAATCTTGTTACAAAGCTAAATCGAAGCACAAAATTGGATCAATTTTGATGCGATAACTTTTGTTAACACTTTGTAAGAATACTTTATGTCTATATATTTTCTATAAATAGAGTTATGAAATAAATTTACTTGAAGTTCATATTGCACGAGGGTGGAAGCCTGCCGGGGCCGTTGGGCCACGACTCCACCATCAAACTGGCCTGCAACTCGGCGGACACCCAGTCCGCGTACAGATCTGCAGCCAAAACAGTGCATTAATTAACTTGCTGGCGGCAACTTTGGGCGCGGCGGACCCTTGCGAAAATCGCTGGTTTTGGCGAAGCTCGTGAACTTTTGGCCGCGCACCGACTTGATGTCAACTTTGCGAAAGTAGGGAGGGCGGCTCGTGTGCGCCCCGCGGGCTGCGTTCGCCAGCTCAGGCATCGCTGACACCAAATTTTGCGGTAACGTACTAGCGTAGACGAACGGATGATTGTAGGTCAACTGCGTTCCTTGGTGGGAAAAGTAATTAAATTTCAAGTTGGTTAAAAGTTATTTTAAATCCGAAGATTAGTTTGTGATGGAGGCTATTTTAATTGTTTATTTTTGTTTTAGAGATAGTTAATTTTTAAATCTTTTTAATTTTTATTTTATTTGTTAATGTGAAGGATCCATCAATTTAAAAAAAATCCATTCTATTCTTAAGATTCTTTTAAAAGTATTTATTTGTTTAAAATAATTATAAAATCAAATTATTTCTCAAATGAATTTAATTTGAAATTTATATTTAATATTGATTTATTTTAATTTTTTAATTTTTGCTTCTTAACAATAATAAATTTTTTTTAATTCTTTATAGAATGCACAATTATAATTTATTTTAATCATTGAATTTTTTGATCAACTTTTTTATATTTAAACCAAGCGGACACAAAACGTTTTACTATATTCACAAGAAGAATAATAAGTAGATCACTTTTTCTGTTACAGTTTCTTTCATTGATATAATAACAATTAGTCAATATAAATAATCATTACAAATTACCGACTGGATCCATTTGTCCTGTTGGCAGGGTGACGCACAGCATGGACTGGCCGTAGTGTTCCCCGGTGGCAGGGTAGCCGTACCCTGATGTTTTTGGGTTGGGCGGAAAATGGGGCACGCTGTGCACCAGCCAGACGCCTTGACCTTGACCGGCGAAAACCACCCCCTTGGTGTGGCCGTGCGTGAAAGAAACGGGCACATCCGGGGGTTGGTCGTTGTACAGAACGGAGAGCAGGTCTGCATTTCCAGGTGCGTACAACGGACGCAGCGTTTGTCCAGGCGGGGAGCGAGTGTCGTTTACGGTAAAAGAGCCCAAAGTCCAGCCGGTGCGAGGGCTCGAGGACGTGAAAAAGACGTAGGCGAGGCCTAGTTTAACCTCAGCAAGGGGACTTTGGTGCAGCCGTGGTAATTTGTACAGGACAAACCTGAATTTTAAGTGAATTAAGGAAAAATTGTTAATAAATGTTGTAACAAATAGCTTAAAATTTAATACAAAATATTCGACATTGAAGTATAATATAATTAAGTTAAATACTCTTCATAATTTCAATTTAGAATTAAATAACTGAAAAGTTTCGTCTGTAAAAAATTTAAATCAAATTTAAGCCGTATTTTTCAATTTTTTTATTTTAGTTATTACTGAAATTCAATGATTAAATAATTAATTTTAATTTTGCAGAATATTTATAAGGTATTTAAAATAAAGTAATTTAAAACTTTCCTTGGCACCTGATAATCAATAATCATGTATAATTAATAGGTATTGGAAATTAGAACAAAAAAATGATAGGAAACTCATCTGATTGATGTGATTGGACGAAAAAAGTTTTTAGCTGTTTAGTTGAGCTAGTCAAAAGCTTTTCCTTTCATATAATGTTTGTTAAATCCAATTTAATTATGTTTGATTTGGTTGCCATCAAAGGCAATGAAAGGGAGTTTTTAATTACCAATCGACAGGATTGCCTTGCTCGTCCCTGCAGGTGATTTCCTGCTGCTCAGCTGAAATTGAAACGAGAAGGGCCACGAGCAGCACACAGACAGAGAGCTTCTTTGACGGACCCATGACTGCTGATCACTGACCTCGAGCATCACAATCAAGGGTCACCCGCCACAAACAGCAAGACGGGTCTTTGATACAGACGCGTCGTGCATATATTTGCTCACATCCTCTCTACACATTCAAAGTTGCCTGGTCGGTTGACCAGAAAATAACCGCATTTTAATTTTAATGAATTGGAGAATTAATCACTGCAGGAGCTGTAAATTTAAAATTAAAGAACTAATCCCACAAATTTAAGTCGACCCAGGGCAGCTTTGAAATTTCGGAATGAATATGAAAAATAGGAAAAAGCAAAAAATTAAAATTTGAGAAATAAATTGTAGAGTATTACTTTCAAAAAAGATATATTCCCTCTTAATATATACATTTTGTATACATGAAGTAATAACTTAAAAGGTTAATGAATTAATGAATGAACTAATTAAACACTCAAATCCAGCTACGCAAAAATTAAAAGAGAAAGTTAACATAAAATCGTTTTAGCCAAATAAGTAAATATTAAATTACTAATAATATATAACTATTTTTTATTGATATAAAGTCATGATTATTAATCTGATCTAAATTCAATTTATTTTAGAAATTAGAGTTTATTGACTAAAAATACGCGTGCCATTTAATCCCGTCCCAATTATGCAGACTCAGCGATAAAAAGTTGGCTGCGAAAGGCACTATTTTTTATCATTGGATAAACGCGTTAAGCAATAAAGGTCGGATGTTCCACTAATACGATTCCTCGGCTCCACCATCTCCAATAACAACGGCGCGCGTCTACTTTGAGGACACTCGAAAAAGAGACGTCACTGAGCGAACGCATTCTCATTCATAATTTACATAATGAGGTTATGCAAATTCCGCAGACGCCTCACTCTCTTGAGATGTGCTGACATTCTCCCTCCAGCGTAAGACCCCAAAAGTGAATATTGATGGGAAATTCCATCCTCGCCAAGCTCTTCTGCACATAAATAGCGCAAGCTCCTGTCAAATGAAAATACACGCAATCTTGGAGGTTGATTTTAATAATCTGGCAAATAATTTATTAAAAAAATCTTCTTTTTTACAGTGAACATGAAAAATTGTTGTCACTGAATAATTTAATATCCGTCATCACTCCAGGTGATTTCGTAGTCAGGGTAAACTTTCTTCAAAAGATCAACGCTGATGGAGTGGTCAGCTTTTCCATAACCCTGGAAACAATTTGAATTTCTTTGAAATGTTAATTTATTGAGAAGTAATTTAATTTACTTTGTAAATATAATATAATGAGAATATTGGTTTCATTAAAATTTTAAACAAGTTCAATGTGTAGACAATTTTTTTGAAATGTCACCTCCAGATCATAAAAAGTGGATTACATAATTTCAACTTTTATTTGACAAAATAACTTTATGAATTTGATCCAAACGGACAAAGAAGTAGCACAATCTGTTGCAATTAGGTATAACCTTAACACCTTTTTTGTTGTTAAATTGAAATTTGTTTGTCATTTCACAATCAGATAAAAACATATATTTTGTTATTCTAATGAGAATGGAAAAATTACAATTGCAAATAAAGGGAGCATAAAAATTTGAGAGTGATTTTCGCGTTCCAGGCAATAAATTACACTCAATCATTCTCTCCCCACAGAGGAGGAATTGCGCGAAACAAAGTCTCTCGCGGCACAAACACTTCCGCTCCGAAGAAAAAGAAAAACGGAGCCAATCAGTGGTAAAAACATTCCGCGAGTTGATCTCGTGATTTATTTTGCAATACATTGTTTCTCACTTTGCCTGATTGGAATGTTGGGTGCTCTTGGGAAAACAAAACGTTGCGTCGCCGCAGCCGGTCTTGCGCACCTGCGTCTCATTTGCGTCTTACATCGCTGCGGCTGTTCAAATCAATAAATATATGGTATACTTTTGTGAATGCTTGCAAAATTTTTCCTTATCGGAAACGGAGCGTTCGTGAAATCCAATTTGGTGCGGCGCGATATTTTCCCATTTATCACGCGTCAAGGGAGTCGATCGCAAAAACGTATCAAGAATTCAACCCATAAAATTTCCTTTCACTCCAGTGCCTTCTCAAATCCCACTCAAGCTCTTTCACTTTGTTGTTTCTCTGAATTTTTATACGTTTTTATTCCTTTTTGACACTTTCACGGTTGCCGCAAAGACGTGACTGAATTTTTTGAGAGAATAATTAGAAGAATGTTTTTCTCACCTGCGAGTAGCCGAAAACTTGGAGTTTTTTCTGCTGCGACGTGTGCAGAATGCGGCCGCCGCCGACACACCAAACTTTGACACCGGTGCCGTGAACTTTCTTCTCCACGTCTTCAAAGATGTCGGCTGAAAACAGAGCGGTGGATTTTTTTAGTATTCCAGTGGCGGCTAATGCAAATTAGGTTGCGGCAAAAATTCATGACATGACATAAATTTCAGAAGCATTTCTTTATGGAAGGAAATTCCAAATTACGGAAAGATGATGCAAAAAAGTAAAAAAGCTGAGTTAAATTAAAGTGCCATCTTAAACTTTATTTCACTACTACATAATAGGAAAAACTGGCTAGGATTAAAAAATACTTTTTAAAAAATATTTTGCTTTAAAATATGGGAATCGTGGGAATTTTCGTACTAAATTATCAACTCTCAAAGACTAATCTTTATTTATTTATATTTTTTTATTCAATACAAATTCTTTTGTTAAATTTAAAACTGGACGGTTGTCTACGTCTTATGATAGGGAAAGCCCATAGTGTTGTCTGGAAATTTTGAATTGGTCTTTTGGCCGCTCTGGAAGTTGTACTTTCGGAGCTATGGCTCTCCCAGTGTACTCCAATTTTTTATAATCAAAACCAAAACCAGTAATCTAGTTCCAAGTTCTATTTAAGCCCCAACTGAAAATTTCATCTTGGAAACACACCTACTTTACCTTCATTTTTCTTTACGTTTTTTGAACAACTCTTTATGATTCTCCAAATTTTTGTAAGTATGCGTGTGTTCTAATTATTGTAGAGAAAGTCTTTTGTTTGTTTTGTTAAGTGTAAAGCAGTTTCAGGTTTTAATTTGTTAAAGGTTTTGATTATGGTTTCACTAGAACTCTGCGAGAAAACTTTGGCTTTAAAGAATGACGAACCCTGGAAATGAGCCAGTTATATTGCTCTGCTTGCCTTAATTATCATGGTTTTAATTGAGTTTTTGATTTTTTTTATTGAGATACAGTTAGGTAATTTTTAAAAATTAATTTCCTAGTTGAAAGTCAAAATTTTTGTATTATTCCATTCTTTAAAGTCTAGTTTTTTTCTCGCCCAGTGTCAGTAAAACCATGTAAGAACCTCTTAAAATCTCTTTTTGATTTTAAAATAAGGAAATTTATGTTATATTTAAACAAGCTAAAAAAATTTTGAAAATCATAAAAAATTTTATTAAAAAAGTAGTTTAACTTTTAAAAATACTTGTTAGCCTGTTTGATGTAAAATAGATTTGATCAAAAGGCAATGCCATGCGCGAACAAAAGCAATGGAAAAAAGTTGTGTACCGCACGTACAGCATTACACACTACTTTTTGCTACACAATGGATGAAAGAGTTGATGTAGCAGCAGCGTAACAATTCTCGATTATAATTCTGCAGTAGCCCCTGGCCACGAGTTGCTATGCAACCACGCACAACGTCGGCGTGCAGCAAAAAGCATACTTTCAAGGCTGTGACGTCCTTGCCCGCAAACGAGCGTTATCGCAATTCTTCTCACAGCAGCATCCGCCGCGCGTCTGCACAATTTCAGTACGCACGTGATTTTGTCTCAATCATTGGACATGCCCGGAATAAACACGATTGCGAAAGTGCATCAATTGTGCAGGTTCTCTGCAAATAATTTTGCATTAGTGCTAATGCACACAACTGATACAGGCCACAGATGCACGACTTTCAAGTGCAAGCCGATGTTTTCATCTGTAACGACCTTCATGGTTTTGCGCGTTTTGCACTTTGTTGAGTTCCAGCAAGAGAAACCAAGTGCTTTATTTTTTAATAAAACCGTCATAAAAATTGAGCGATTAATTTTTTTATTGTACATCAAATTATGCAAATGTAACAAGTTAACGCTCATTCATGCAAATAATAAATTTTGACATTGAAGATTCTTTGCAACGTGTCATCTCTAAAATTACCAATAGCAATTACCTTGTTTGAATGATTATTTAAACTAAATTAGATAAAATATATAAAGAAAGCAAGACTAAATTTATCTCATTATAAGCATGGAAATGAAGATTCGGGCTTTTCCTCGTTGCAAAAAATTGTTTTTATTCAAAAACAAACGGCTCTACCAGTTTCGGTCACGGTCTGCGACCATATTTTTCTTGCTCATGAAATAGGGTCGCAGACCGTGACCGAAACTGGTAGAGCCGTTTGTTTTTGAATAAAAACAATTTTTTGCAACGAGGAAAAGCCCGAATCTTCATTTTCATTGTAAGCACTTCACAATTTTATAACAAGAATTAAAATAAATATTATTTTAAATTATATTATATAAATTACATTATTAAATAAATAATATTTATTTATTCATTAAAATAATTTTATTTCATTTCTGTGTTTAATTTTTTAAATTTAATTAACATTGCTTTGAAAATATTATTTAATTCTATATTAAATTTTGATACTTTAAAAAATAAATTTAATCAGCATTGTGACTATATACGTGACAGTAATTTCCACAGTAAAATTTGCATATGGTATCTGCTGTCTGCTGGGTCTGAGAATTATTAAATTTTAATTATTTAAACTATATGTTGAAATTTTTAATTGAACTATAAAGCCTATTTAATAATATTATTGTTCCAAAAGCAGCGTTATTTCTAAATTGCATATTTTAGTCATTTAATTTGAATTAATTCACCATTGCTACATTAAATGAGAAGTTATTGAAGGGTTCATGGGGTTCATATACTATTCAATTAAATTGACAAAAACATTTATGCTGATCTCAATTTTCAAAGCTGCATTCATTGAGATAACTAGTACCAATATATTTGAAGCAAGCAGATTGTTTTAGGATGTTTTGAGCATAAAAGATTTTCGTTTCTTTGTCATTATTTGGATGAGTTCATGTATGGGGCATAGTTGCCCTCATTTGAACCCAATAAACATTCATTTGAAACTAAAAGAAGTTTCTTAAAAAAAAAAAAACAAAAATTGCAAATAAAAATTATTTTATTTATTTCATCTCTATGACTTTAATTAGAATTATTACCGTTTTGGGTGTGGTATTTATTAATCCCTGAACACAGAAACATACAGCTGCTTATTCTACTGAAAGTGAAACAAAAACACATCCATTTAACAAAATGCAGAGAGCACAAGCCATTCCGAAGTCATCAACTACTACCCTAAACTTTATTAGAAGACCTTAGCCTTGGCCCATTTCCCATTTTCCCGGAAAACGAAACGCAATCGGAGCATTTCACTTGATTCAGCGTTTCCAACAATGGCTCATTTGGGCCGAGTAGCAAATCTTTTATGGGGCTTTTTCGTTCCAGCACCTCTCTCTCTTTTCACGTGCGAAACGCGGCGTCGTAAATCGCAAGCAGGCCAATGAATGGCCCATTGTTTGTTCTCGTGCCAATATATTTATTCGTCGCCTTCCAACAGGTACCCTCGGCCGAGAGAAGAACAAACAAACGAACCGACTTGTATGGAATCCATGTATCGTTCAAACACTTTGCTAAAACATCCATAAATAATTAACATATTTGAAGCAGAAATAAATTATTTACTTGTAATTATTATTAAAATATTAATGAAAATTCATTTCTTGCGAAAAATACTTGCGGAAAGGTCAACCAAAATTGAATAATTATTAAATTCTTAAAACCCTATTTAAAAAGTATAAACCGTTTAAAAAGGAGTTTTTATGAATTTGTAAAATAATGATTGAATTGGATCCACTTTTATAAATGCCCATATTCATTAATTTACTTTACTCGGAAGACTTCATTAATTTTTAAACACTTGATTATTTTAAAAAGTTTTTCTTAATTATTAATGGTTAACCTTATATTTAAAAATTAATTAACAATTTAAAACATTTTTTTGGTTTAATTTAACTTAAGAATCAACAAACGATGCATGGCTTAAACTTATGCAACCGACTCACCCACACTTTGCATTACACACACGCTACGAAAAGGTCAACCGACCGCGCTTTGTCGCCTTGTCACTCCGCGACAGACTTTTCAATGGCCTCCAGCGCACCTTCGATTTCCACACCAAGTTTTGCAGTAAAACTCTCAAACTCAGCCTTTCAAAAACTGTGAGCAAAAAAAGAAAACTACTAATTCCCTCAGCGAATCTGAAATTTCGCTGACGTTTGTGGCGGAAAAGTCTTTGATGCGAGTTGTGGAAAAGCTTTCGCCGCGTCGACACAAACAATGCTTTTGCCAACGGGACGGGGGTGGCTGTAAATTCTCGCTCTCTACCTGGAAACCACTGAGAGCTTTTCCCAGAACCGGTTGCATAACTAAAGGGCAGTGTTTAGCAAAGTTGGCAACCCTCGCGATAATGGCTATTTCTCCGAATCAAGACTGACTCGGTTGCAGTGAATTCCAGCTGAAGGTCGATTACCGCTTTTATTGTGCACTGGAAGTTTTGTTGAGTGGATCAAATGAAAATTTATTATTACTAGTACTAAACAGTACTACAATAGTAAAGGTTTATGTGCAGTTTTTTAATTCAAATCAATCAAAAGTGAAGAAGGATTATCATATAATTGATCAATTTCATTTTTAGGAGTTTTTTTTATTAGAAATTGTGTATTTTCTTTTTTACTGCAAAAATTATAGAGTGATGAAATTATGATGTTTGGCAATATTTTTGTAAATATTAATTAATTTGTAATTAGTCAATACTCGCAGATTTCACAAAAAAAGAGTTATAAATGAAGAGGTATTTTTAATAACTCATTTTAAATTTTTGTGTTCAACAATAAATGTTTAATCCCTTTTTTATTTAAGTGCTATTTACAATACTTAATTAAACAATAAATTAAAAAGCACATCCAGCAAATAAATATTAAATAGCATACATGGCGCTCAACGATTTTGCGCTCGCCATCAAGCTTGAAAGGTGCGCTCACGCTTTGCGCTCAAAAATATTTTTCCCTTCAGAAAAAGTGCGACTTACGAGACAATTTTTTTACAAAAAACCCCATCAGCAATTGAAAATATAAAGTTGAACTTCTATTTCCAAAATTGGGGTCAGTTTTTTGGTATGAAAACACTATTTTTTTGTAACAATTTTTTGATCAAATTTTGGAATTTTTACTTTTGGTTTGTGCGCAAAATGAGCGCAACTGAGCGCTGCGCTCAGCGATCAATGCGCTCGCGCTCTGCCAATGTATGATAAATAGGTTAATTTTTATAACTTTTTTATAAAACTTTATGTTCAATATTTTTTTTATGAACCCATTTGCCAAAAATAAATCCTTCATAAATTTGCAGTGCCAAGGGCAGCACGTTTGTAAAATTATTGCCTTGACTTACGAGTATAATATGAGTCATATTATTCAAATGCAAAATAACAAAATATATTCAATGGATGACAGAAAGAGACAAAGAGGCCGCGTTACTGTGGTTTGATGGCAGATTTAACTGCGGCGGATAACATTATTTATAGGTGGGCGACGCGGCGAGACCGCAAATACCAGTTGACAAGACCGATCGAGGCGACTTTAATGAAAAACAGCCCAGGCTGAATTTCATTTCCAGCAGAGCACAACAATTTCAATTTTTTCCGTCACCCGGATTTTTTTAGCAAAGCGGAAGGGCAAAATATGAAAGTGCTAAAAAATGAGAGTTTCCGTTGCTCGTCAGTTTTGTTCATTATTACATCGAGGGAGGGTCGTTGAATCACAGGCCCGCCCGTTATTCAATGACCAGGGAGCTGCAATTGTGCTTGACGCGTCGCATTGACGTCAGAAAATTCAATTTATTGTGTTTTCCCTCCCAGTTGCCAGCTCGACCGAGTTAATTTAGTGCAACATAATCAAACCTCCAGCGTTTCCAGCTACCTTGTTGATTGTTTGTTTTGAACATCAGAATGACGCTTGAGAAACCGTATTATGAGAATTTCAAATGAGAATATTATTTCGAATTGCAGACCTCATTACATCGGAAAATAATGGTTTGATGTAGGACAAGGTTTAATTCAAAATGCAATAGAAATTAATAATAAAAAGAAGTGGAGATTTTCAGCATGGATTAAACATGATTTAAGGAGACGTGATGAAATTAAGAAAACGGGCAATGTCCTAGTTGAAAAATTGTTGTTTTTACAAAAATTCAATTTTTCAAATATTTCTGCCTGATCTAATTGCATTTTTTTTAGTGGAATTTATGAAGTAAAACCAAAGTTCAATAATGTTAAAAATTCCTTGATATTTACGCAATGATTTGTTTCATTTCGTTTACTAAAAGGGAGAAATTATCGGAATGAAATTGAATGTTTAACCTTTTCAATTAAAATCTGTTTGTTTGTTTTAGAGTTTCAATCTATTTTGGCCGTTAAAACGCAAAATCAGAGAGCTCATAAATGTGCAGCCACTTTCAGATAAGGTTGAAATGAAATTCGCCACTGGTGCCACCAAAAGCCACAACGATAATAATTGCTCATCAATTAGAGCGGTTTGATGGGCCGTGTATCTAAAAGCGTGCTCGTGTGATTGCCTGCATTTGCCGCGTTTTATATGCTGTACATATATTTAACGCGGCTGCTTTGACGTCACTTGGGCGCAAGAAATAATATGGACCGAGATGGGACAAGCTGGAATTTTGCCCGCAAACTCGGCCGGCATGCACAACTAGTCCTCTCGGCTAATAAATGTATTCCGACGTCGTGCGAAACTCTTGGCCAAATAATTCGCATTACATGCGACGGCCTCGCCCGATAAATTGCGGCCAGAAATAATGTGTATCAACCGAGAATTATGTGTAATAATAACTTAACGACGTTGTGACGGACGGCTTTACGGGGGCGGCACTGCTTTTGCGGGTATGTCTCCAAGGCCGTCGAATTATTCGCAACAAATGTGACACTTCACTCTTGGTTACAAATGGGCCGTGCGACGCTTCTCTGACACTCTCTGATGAAACGCACTTTGCCACTAGTTATTTAGTTCCAGCAATCCTTGCAGAGTGCTACATGTTGTTGCATGTAATTTGCCAATTACTATTATTAATTATTTTCTGTGTTTTCCAAATGAAATGAGCAAAATTGTACAAAACGTTCATTTGAACCAAACTACAATGAGCTGATTTTGGATATTCAAGCAGTTGGTTGGCGATTTCACTGAAAATCGAAATTATAATTTCTAATATGCAGAATTTATAATGATTTAATTATGTATGAAAGACTTAGTACAAATTTGTACAATTTTCAAGTTCATTATTTTTTTTTAAATTTTTGATAGCTATTTTTTTTTATCTTATTGTATGTTTTATTAAACTTTATGAATATTTTTCTCTCTTAAAGAATCATAGGAAGAAAACACAAATTTTAACAAATGAGGCGCTATATATTTTTGCATGAACGAAGTTTAATATTTTTGTTCCTCGTAAATTATATGTATTATGAAACTTTAGAACTGAAAATAATAGGATATTTAGAGAAAAAATTGTGATAAAATATATATTATTTCTTTTTAATTCTACACTATATATGTATTTTATTCCTCTAATTTCTGTTATGAGTAGTGCATACACGTCTCAATTTGGTAGTTAAAGTAAAATTAATTTCTTGTTTATTTCACTTCTGACAGGTTCAAAATGCTCTTTGACATGTTTTTTTTTTATGAAAACGGTCTGCACGCGTGATTTCTCATTCGTCTCACTCGTTGGGCCTAAAGAGTTGGCATTGCGAGCACCCCCCTGTCCATTTTGATATTAGAATATGCTCAAGGGATTATATTCTTCACGCGCGAGGAGACTGCTCCTCGCAGGTGCATCGAGTTTTGTATCGATCTTGCCGAGAAAGGACGGGAGCCAGCGGCACGCACCCCCTGTGTGTGTCCCAGTGACGTCACGCGGCGCCCTCGCTTTCCTCCCTTTGATAATTGTAACGAGACCGGAGCAGGAGGAGGCAGGTGAGCAAAACAGCCAACGTTGATTCGCTAACGACTGCTAATAATTCAAACGACGATGCTTTTCTCCCGCATTGATTTTTAATTGCTCGTCATCAATCAGTTTTGACACGCACTTTTTTATTGTTTTCTCAGAGGTATAATTGTGATCAATGTTTGAATGAGAAGGAATCATATGTTGAAATCTGTATCAAATAAAATTAAAATTAAAAGTCCAAGAAAATTGAATCCTAAAGTTTAGTTTTTCTATTACTTACTTCCATGCATAGATTTAAGGTCCTATTTATATGTAAAGATTTGAAGAATATGCTCACAAAAATATAATTCATAGTAAAAAGGGGTATTGACAGAGTGGAACAAAACCGCAATATTGGATGTAATAATAAAAATATGATTAAAAATTAAAATATACTTTTAATTATTTGTAGAAACGTGGAATAATTTAAAAATAAAATAAGATATTTAAATTAAAATGCTCACATTTTATATATGGTGGTTTTCTCTTATTAAGTTTTTAAATATTTAACTGGAAGCCATCGGAATATTTTTGCAGCTCTATAGAAAAATATGTATTTGTGCTCTTAAATTTCAGTTGTTTCAATGCAAGACGCTCAAGAGGTTCAGGGGCTTATGGTATGAAGTACGAAGGCAATAAGAGGCTTTTGCCCTATTATTCAGGTCCTAACTGCGCTATTACCTTGGTGCAGGTTTTCAAATGCTACTGCTGTGAAAACTCAGGAAGCATCGACGTGGGTTACTTCCTGCAAGAGACGGCAACACACGATTTTCACAGCTTTTTAAAAAATGATGTGTAAAAATTATTTACATTAGGTGCCTCTTTGGTTCACATGATTGATTATTTTGTTGAAAAACCTCTTTATTCGTGTTAAAAGCTACTTTGTGGCCTGAATTTTTGCTTGATATTTTTTCTTTATATTTATTTACAGGAGAAGTAAATAAAAATCATTGTTTTTTTTTCTTCATTTTAGTATAATAATTTTGAGAAAAGTGTTTTATACGTTTTATGAAGAAAACTATGAATTATCAAATCATAAATAACAAAAATGGCGTTGGCAAGTAAAACTGAGCAAGGTTATTAATTGCACCACTTGATGGCCCTTTCCTGTTGCGGAAAATGGATGGTGTGGCAATTCAGGAAAAGCATCACAACTTCAGTGTGCATCAAATTTCACAATATTGCTTTTAAAATAATTGTTGGAAAGCGCACAGGAAACGCTGCTTCCTATATAAATGGGCAGAGTGGTCAAGTCATCATACATTCAGCCGTGCAAACTGATGCTGATCAACAGCATAAGCTGATACATGCAGATTACACTTGCGTTGGTGCTGCTGGCACTGGTCGTGCAGGTGAGAGGAAGAAAATCATACTTTTATAAGGTTTTCTAACAAAGAAATATACAAAGGCGGCAGTAGGCGCTCGTCAGGAACTGAACATCAAACCAAAGTATTTCACCCTGCCCCAGGTCAAGCTCAGCGCCTCCCAGTTGACCCAACTGGCCGAACCCAACCAGCCCCCGATTGACAATAACTCCATTCCTATCGTCCAACGTAAGGGTGATCTTTTGTTAATTGAATCTTATTATGTAAAAAAACAGCAAATAATGCGGGCACATCATCCTCGTCTGGTCAGTCTGGTGTCAGCAAACAAATCGTGGGCGGCTACGTGGCCGTCCTGGGCCAATATCCGTGGCAGGCGCTCCTCTACATAGACAACGCTGGGTTCTGTGGTGGCTCCATCATCCTTCCTGAATGGATTTTGACAGCTGCCCACTGCATAGGGTCTGTCACATACTCGTACATAGTAGGTAGATCAAATAAAAAGCTGAATAATTAGAACCGTCCACGACGTTATTCTGGGCAGCATCAGCCAGAACCCGCTCTCCAGCGGATACGTGAGGCTCACCTCGAGGGTCAGCTTCAAGCATGAACTCTACAATTCCAAAACCCTGGTCAATGACATTGGCCTTATCAAGCTTCCATCAACCGTGACTTTCACTGGTTGGTTGCATTCTAGCTCCACTTGGAAACTAGAACTGAAATTTGAAAATCTTTAGGCAACATCTCACCGGTGAGGCTGCCGATCATGGCCGACGCTGCTAGAAACATGACGGACCTTATGATCCTTGTCAGCGGCTTCGGCAGGACCTTGGACAGTATGATTCCTTTTGAAAGCAACTTTGTTAACTTACAAAAAACATAAAAAATTCACTAGCCTCTGCTTACAATAACGTTCTTAAGTTCGGTCGGTTAAGGGTAGTTTCTTATCAGACTTGTGCATCCTATTACGGCACTTCGACTGTTACTGCTTCGAACATTTGCACCAAACAAATTAACAGTGCCACTTGTCAGGTTTGCTGATTAAATAGTTTAAGTAGTGGGAGATAATAATTTTAATCGCAGGGTGACGATGGTGGACCTTTGATATACAGAGATGTGGACACCAACTACCTTTGGACGCAGTTTGGCATTGTTTCATTTAGCGCTTCGGCAGGATGTCTTGAAGGGTATTCAGTCTACACCAAAGTGACGTCCTACCTCAGCTGGATGTCTAAGAAAATTGGCCAAGGTTCTTAATTTTTTTCAAATATGATTGCGTTTTGCTTAAATTTAATAAACTTGAGTAGATTTGACTGGGACAACCACCGGGCAAACCGTCACTAGCACCGTCACTACGACGCAGCCTACTACAACCACGACGCGTCCAACAACTACGAAGACGACCACCAAGCTGACGACAACAAAGACCACCCCAAAGACCACCAAAAAGTCCTTGGGAAGATGAGAGACATCTTGACACCAATTCGATCCTTTAAACAACTATGTAATTTTTCGTGTGTCAAAAAAGTAGCATGCAGTAAACAAATTAGAAATAAAAAAGATATCTCAACAATAATTTGAATCACCGATAGCATTTCAATAAATTTCTGAACAGCATTCTAAACGTTTAATTCTAAAAGAGTAATCTTCAGCACTATATTTTACACCTGAAACGCTTACTGCGGCAGGTGCTTTGTCAGTTTCTTTCATGCATTCAAAATTGTTTCAACGTATTAATTAGTAATCAAAATTTGAACCTATTGGCTTCGTCTCTTTGCAGGCCCACACAGCACGCTGCTTAGCCTGCTCTATACATTATTACATCATAAATTCTCCCATAAATTTTCTTACATAATCAAATTCCCTTGCGAAACGTATTACGATTTGCCTTTGCTCCTAAGCTTCTTTTTATCAATTTTTATTTTTAAAAAAATGTTATTCCGCGAATCTTTGAACCACAGTTCTGGATTAATTGATTATCTATTTGATTGATTGTCAATTGCCATCACTTATATAATTCATTCCTAGAACCGGATAAAAACGTAGAGGTTATCAAATTATTTAAAAAACAGCAAAGAAAAATTAATTTTTTAATTTTATAAGAAAATTTTAATAAAAAGTAGTTATTTGTTAAAAATTTACAATAGTGAATTTGTGAACTGTCAGAATACTTCGAGTGTTTTGCTTTTATTTCTCTGCTGATCACCTGCAATTGGCTCGGTAAACTTTTTGTTTTCCTGCGTCTTGTTAGGCCCCTTTTGATTTCGGCGAAACCATAGCGGCGGAAAATTGATCAAAATTGCTGGCAAAGAAGGCGCTCCGGGGCGCAGTTCTGGAGGGAAAAGAGCAAGAAATCAGACATGAGCTTCATTAAAGATGGAAATCAGATGCCACGGGGTTTTTGACGAATTTTTTCCGAGATGGGTTCGAATGTCATCTTTATTGGCAGTGCGAGAAAGAGAGAGTTTTTCCTTTTGTCTGCAAGGAAAACGGTTTGTGCTGCTAGTTAGCTGATTTGCCTTCGGCGTTCCGGTCTCACTCAGTTTCCGAGTAGGTTGCTCGTTTGATAGTTGGCTTTTGTGCACTCCACCTCACTTACTTAAGAAGTCCCGTGTGTGAGCAGCACCACTTAAAATAAGATAAGCTTGACAAATTTTCCTCCGCCCAATATTGTGACTAACACTGCAGATAAGAATGATAAAATCCTACTTTTTATCAGGTTTAGGTGCAGATTTAAAGAAATATTTTCTGCGTTAAAAATTATATTTGTAATTTGATAAAATGTTTATCTTAAGTATTATTAAATCTCCAATGTTGAATGTTTTGTAGGTACTAACTGGTCAGTCTTTACTGATTTCTTGTAAGAAAAAGTGTGAAATTTGATTATATGTTAATATAAATAACAACAAAAATTGAGAGACTAAAATGTACTAAAATATTTTTTTCAATTTTGATTAGACATAAACAGCTTTATTATAAAATAAAGTTGTTAAATACAAAATTAATATTTGGGATTAAATATTTATTTTAAACTTGATTATAATTACTTAATTTGCTTTTCACTATAAAAGTAAAATGCGTTTTGATTAATTTTTTTTTAAGCAACACACAGAATACCGATTTTCGCACTATTATACATGGTTTTCTGCTTTAATACAAATATTTTTTTTATTAACTTTATTCATTGACATCTGATATATACTGCCATTCTCTTGCAATGATAAACTGCATTTAAAAAGCTCAATTATAATTATGTTTTTAATATTCAAATTATTTAATAAAATTATAAATGTTATAATATATATGCTAATTTCATTCCGTTTTTAAAATTTGGTTTCATCAAATTGATTAAAAAAAATGCCTTGTTTCTATTTCCAATCCAAAAATCTGCCGTATTTTTGGCTGATTTGCTTTTTTTTTAAGTTTGATTAGTTTTATATTCCCTAAATAATTTGATTATTTAACATTCAAAGTTTGAATTTTATTAGTTTAATATTGGGAAAGATTGATTTTTTTGCGCCCTTGGAATATTAAATTATCATGAAATCTTGTATGCAATCGTGCGTGCAAATGCAATTTTTCCTGCTGCAAACTGGGTCAAAGGGCAATCGTGGGGGACGATTATCAGCGCCGATCTCGAGATTAATCGGCGCCGCGCGGTTCGGGCGTGCGTGTGGCGGCGGCGCTCGGCTGCTCGGGCGTACGCGACTCGGCCGCTCCACCAGTTGGTGTGTGTTCGGCGCGAGAGCAGGTCGCAGGCGTTCGCCGCCGCTCCGGTTGCATACCCAGACGTGCCTCCCTCACAAAGTAGTTGCAAAAGGACCATTCCGATCATGTGAACGTGGCCGCTTGCCGAGGCTTTGCTGTGACTTTTAAACCGATTGTCCCGCCATGACCGAGGAAGCCGAAGCCAAGTTCGACAAGTGAGTAACGCCAGCGCCAAACTTTGCTCGTTTATTTTCATTCGCAAGCTATACAGAAAGGGACTGAAAAAAGTCAATTCAGCGTAGGGTGAATTTAAGAAAGGGTTTGTTTTATTTTGCAGGAATTTATTAGGAGACCAAAAGAGGCGAAGCGATTATTTTCAGCTTCTTTTTGCTCTTTCAGTTAACATGTTTTAAGGAACTTGCAATTTTTAAGAAAAAATTAAGCATAAAATTTTCAGGGGTCTTAAAAAACTGGTTTGATCATAGTGGTGTTGAAAAAAATTCAATGTGCTTTTTCGTCTTTCACAAGATAACGTCGATTAAGATTATTATAAAAGCTGCATTATCTTTTTCTTAGAACATTGCAATTTTAGATTGCCATTTAGCTTTGTCTATAAAATTTTAATTTTTCGTAGGGTTAAAAATGACTTACTTAAGACTTAAAATTCCTATTCATGGTCGTAAAAATATTAGAAATGGGAAAATTGGAAGTGAGGAGGGAAATTTTTCTGATTCTTAACGTCATAATGTTGCATAAATATAACCTTTGTTTTTATTAAATTGAATTCATATGAAATTCGCTAAGGAAACTTTTCCATTTTCAATTACTGGAACTGGAAGATTAAAATTACTCGCATTGCTACTGTTTTTAAGTTAAAATTGTTAAAAATTAATATTTTCTATGAATACATTTTTTTAGTTAAAAATATTTTTTGTTTTAAATGTTTTTGCTCTTTTATGCCAAGAAAATATTGGGATAAATTTGACTCTGGATGAATTTTGCTGGGGTGATATCAAAGCTTATTGATTATTGAGCCGGATTCTTCTCATGTATGAACACATGTCATATTCCCCCATCAAATGTGGCAAGCCTTTTTGGAATTTCCGGAATTTTTATTGATTTCAGCGCTCTGTAATTCAGAGGGTGAATTTCCAAACAACAAGATCGATTGTTAAGGTTACGCCTGAAATAAGCCGAAATTAAAATTGAATTAAAAGACATTGTCAAATATGATTGTGGGTGAGATTTGCTCTCAGCAGGTTAAATTAACCTATTCCTTAGTTTTTCGGGGAGGTAAAAGGAAAATTCCGTTCGCTAGAAAGAAATTGTATCACATTAGCAGCTTTTAACGTTGTTGAACATCACGTGCAAACACGCGGAAATTAAATTCTCGGCCAGAGATTTTAATTATGGAGCGCAGAAGAGAGCGGCGGAAAATGACGAAATGTCTCAAAGTGTGTGCTTTGATCCGAATTTAGGGAGAGGAGCAGCTGCTGCTAATTCCACCTGCCAAAACGAGAGAATGAAAGAACGTCTCATGATATTAATATTTCACTTTACAAATTCAATTTGATCAAACATTTATCATTTATTTATTATTATGATAATTATATATGATATTTAAAAAATTGCTAAAAAAAGGTGAAGTAAAAAAATATAGTAAATCGCTCATAATTTTTTATCACTTGCAAATTACCAAATCATAAAAAAATGAATAAAATATAAATAAAATAAAATTTTGCAAAATATTAAAAGTTTATTTAATTTAAAATTATGTGCCAGATTGTTATTTATTGTTCTCAATTCTCAATTTTAACTTTGATTATAAATTTTTAAAAATGCGTCTCAAAATAGAGAGGACAAATAATTTCTAATTTTCATTATAAATAACATACAAAACAAATAAATTTAAGTTCATTTGATTTTTTTTAATATTCAGTCTAAATATTTCCATTATTATCTTTACAGTTTCTCCATATAATCGTCATGTCATGAGGAAAAACTTAAAAACAAGCCCAAAGTCTCTCATTCGGCAAGAGACATTTTTGCAGACGACAGCGTCTCGTAAAATATTAATTACAAGGAAGGCGGTGACATTTTGTTCTTGGCAGCATCCATATTCATCAGATGGCTTTCATTTCATAAATGTGGATGTGCCGCTCGGGCAAATGTAAGCAACCCTTTCACCCACCTGCATGTTAATTTGACGAGTTTGTGCCCGTTGGCTCACTCTGCGCAAAAAATAATTTATATACGGTCTCTGGAACTCGGCAGAGTGAAAAAAACGTGAAAGCTCTCCAATATCAATAAGAACACGCACGTTTGCATATCAGAATTTTTTATACAGTACTTTGTCAAATCAAATTTTTACACATTTCTTAATTTCTTTCCACTAAAAAAAGATTCCATAATTTATAAATTGATCTTAATGAGGTCTTCTCATGGTAGCTTCAAATTAATTTTGAGGGCTGAATAAATTTTAAAAAAAAAAACGTTATTTAATTTAATTTTAAATAACCCAATAAAAATTTCATCTGATCAATAGTAAAAATAATCATTAATCATGTGAATTTGAAAAGAAAAATTAATAGGCAATCTGGGGTCAATAATTTAATTTTGCTTGACATGTTTCTTACGTTGAAATAAATTGGCACGGCAAAATATTTGAATAAGATTTTCATCGTTGGTGTCAAGGTGACGTACGTGAGCGCTTTTTGGCACTCACGCAAGGCTGGCTGATGGCCTCAACCGATTGATTGAATTTCCTCTAGCGCATGAAAATTCACATTTCACTTTTCGATCCACATATTCACCTGATTCGGCACGTCTGAAATAGAACCGTGGAAGGCGTGGACGTTGTTTGCAAAATATTTACTCGCCTATTTTTGCACCTCGGAGGCACCGAGTGAGAGTGCGCGTGGTCAAGTTCGAGGTAAAAATAACTGATGGGCGCGTCACATTAACGCGGCACACCATTTCTCTCATTCAACCCTATCAACAGATCGTAAATTCTGGAGGGAGATTTTTTGCGGCTTTGAAGCGTTTTCAAAGCAAAAAACAACTCGCTGCTTTTGCAACGCTCTTAATTATCGTCGACTCGCAAAGAGGCAAAAAGGGATCAAGAGCGTTCTCAAAGAACCAGCGACAAACAAAGCCTAAAAAGCCTTCTTCAATTACGCACTTGTTCCTAAGAGGCGTACCTGACCTACGTTTCATTTGTAATGAAAATCGACGACAAAAGAAAATGTGCGTCGGAAGAAGGGTCGTTGAGAAAGGCGAATTATTGTTAAGATGAAGAAGTTTCTTCCGATTGATACAATTTTAACTTGCATCCAATATAAATGCAAATTTAATAAAATAAATTGTTCTTTTAATTGAATTAAATGTTATTCTGCTGGTCTGATTCGGTGCAAACAAAGAGATATTAATTCTGATAAATTGGTAAGATTAAATTTATAAGTTTACTATAATCTCCAAAATTTCTATTTGAAGGTTTAATGTAATTCAAAATTTTTATTAACGAATATCTTAAATTAAAATATTTCCTTTTTTTCACGATTGTAGCTGCAGTTTTTATATTTTTCAAACCATGCGTCACAGAGTAAGCTGCACAAATCAAATTTGTTTTGCTACAAAAGTGGATAGGCAATCTCAAAATCCGTTTTGCTCGTGGATTATTCAAATGTTTCAAAACACGCTGCGAGCGAAAGCGAATCGATTTGGCAAAGCACTTCAAAGCGGTGCACCAGTAGCGACATGAAAGGCGCCTTTGTTGTTCTACTCTAATGGCTAAGTCTCTACTATAGTCAACAGCAGCTATTGCGAAGATAAAGATAAAGTTTTGGACAAAGTCCACCATTAACGAAGGCAGATTTAAGTAGACTGCGTTTCCCGAGGAGATATATTTAAAGTAATTGAAAGTTAGGAAAAGGGAGGAAATGCTGATGCGGGGGCGGAAAAGTTGGTGAAGTTCTTAATACTTTCCTTCTCCGCCTACTAATCTTACACACTTGTTATGTAATGTAATTTTATATCGTATAAAGTTGAACTCCATTCAACTTTATGAATAATTTAAAAATGTGGCTATAAATTTCAAGAAAATGACATATTCATTGCTTGTTTTAATCATTATTCATATCGAGGCAGTTTGTTAAAATTTTACAATAAAAAATCTAGTTCCTTTAAATTTAATTTCAACTTAATAAATAATTATTATTCACGACCCTTAAAATTATTAAATTGAGATTACCGAGATTACAATGCAACACGATTGATTAATTAAATTTTAAGGAACAATGGAAAGAGTCATAATATAAAATTAAACAAAGACAACATTTGCTTAATGTTTTACCAGACGAAAATACAAAGGGATGATTAAAATCTTTATCCATTTTATTTTTCTTTATTTTTAAAAAATAATGCAGTTTTACAAGAGGAGTGAAAATTTGAATGAAAATTTCCGCCCAGGGCAGAAACAAAAGGAGAACACTCGGCGTTGGGCGAAAAAACAACAAAACAATCCCAATCCTGCTGGCCGTGTTTGTTTTGTGAGTGGAGCCGTAAAAATTTATGGCCCCGACGTGTTTTATGCTTACCCAGCTGGGGCCATTTTTTCCATGTATTATTTCAACGGTGTCATTGTCGGTGGAAATCGAAAATCGGAGCGGAATGAAAGCGTCGAATCAGAAAATTGACAGCGCGCGGTCCGTCTGTTTTCTGCCCTCTGGTGCGAAGATAACAGGTGGTTCGAACGCGGTTCGACGTCTGAAGATGGATTAGTGTGCTGGAGGCGTGCGACCGAGGCCTTTTTTCCCGAGTGGAGCGCAAATGGTTCGCCGCCTTTTATTAGCACCTATATGAGAAAAAAACTCATCTTGCAGAGCAGGCGAGCTTGAAATTGACACCGTTCTTGTGGGACTTGAATCCGAAAATACGAAGAAGGACTATAACGACCAAATTCGGCCCTCTTTCCAAGGTGCGACATAACGATGGCTTAATCAAATAATTTCATAGCGATTTTGGTCAAAATTGCCAACTTTGGCTCTCAAGGCGGAAAAATATTAAAAACAATTCTTGAAAATTTAAAATAATTTTTAAGATGGTATGGAAATGTTATTTTTAATAAAAATCAACCTTTTTTATATATATATATTTTTTTTATCGTTATACATTTTCAGCTATGATTTTATTTAATTTTAATTTATAGTATACTTTT